AATCGAAACAGCCTTAAATGCAGGTTTGCCAAGAGTTCATGTCCCGGAAACTGTGTTGACTCAAGCAGTTAACTTAAGTCGGGAGTGAAGGAAGCCTGGATTTTCCTGTTTCGTGGTTTTTGATCTCATTTATGGGACCAATAACTCACAACCATGAGGACAACACAAAATTGTTTGGGAAATAGCACTGCTGAAATACTATTGACTGATGTACTGTCTGAAACTGCATCGTTAAGCTATTGATTTTACCACAAAATCAGCTGTATTGTTCCTATGCAAACACAAATATTGTATTTTTAAAAATTATGTATAACAGTTCTACAAATATTGGTAGTTTTCCATTTTACGGATGATTCCTTTATGCCTGAATGTGCCATACACTTTGTTTCCTATAGTAAGAGCCAAAATATTTTCAAATACTATAGCCAATGCTAAGTTACTATAGGAATTATAGTGCAAAACAGTTGGGAGGTTAAATGTTCCCTATTACAGTCTTAGAACCTCTGACAATTTTTTTAATATGAGAACCCATCTGGACTCAGGACTTTATCTGTGAACAAGGCAACCCTTCAGCTCATTCATAGCCAAACCAGGTCTACAAAGGTATCACCTACCCCTGCATTTGTACTGTGTAATAGCCACATGGCTCTCTTTTATTTCAAGAGAATTATCAAGCTACCAAGAGTACCTCACCACCCCCTGCACCAAAAAAGAAGATATTTGGACTCTCAACATCAGTGGAGCAAGACTGCAACCACTAGACAATGTTAATTTGACTTTGACCTCAAGTGGTTAAACCTAGTGAGTTTACGAACTTTTTACCCCAATTCCCAGATGAGTTTTTTGTGTCACTCTATACCTGAGCCAAATAGAAACTTTTGGTTTCAAAGAAAGGGAAAACAGAAAGGTGTGTACCTGATGCTTGTGCTTCTTTGTTTGACGATCTGGAGTGTCATATCCAATTAACAGTTTCCTTAGTTATGACTTTAATGTCACAATTGCAGTGCCGCCTGCATCCTTCCTAACTTCAGGAGAAGTTGGCAGAATCCATCTGCCATGAACATTTGGATTCAAAGATGTCAGCAGACTGTATGATTTCTTTAGTGGCCTACATAGAGAGATAACCTAATCTTGGCATTCATAGCCAAGCAGTTCACTTGGTTTTTGTTTTAATCTTCTTATGTCTGCTTGGTCCAAAAGAGACACTGGAGGAACAGAAGCATTCCCAGCTATCACCAGTAGATAGGTTGTTACCTTTGTAGAGGGATAGGCCTGGGATCCCCTTACTATTTTTTTTAAAAATGTGTTTTTTTAAAATTAGGAGTTCTGAGGGTACATAAAAGATTATAGGAACGAATAAGGACTCCCTGGAGCTCCCAACTCTTTGCAATTTTTTCTTTCAATATTCTCATTTTTCTCTTTCTTTTCCTTTCCACACAACATTGTACATATGTAGAAGTGAGCACAGGGTACATGCAGGCTCCCCCAAGAGCCTCCAACTCATCGCGCTTTCTATTCTCCACTCCTCCATCCTCTCTGCTGGTCCTCTACCTCCAAATGTTTCAATCTGCTTTGAAGACACAACTTTTTGCCTCAGTTACTTTTGTCTATACAGCGAGTGACTACTGTGGATTCAAAATGCTGCTTTTGTATGTGGAGAGGCTGACCTTCCGCTTTGCAGCCACAATCTCAAACTTAATTTGCCTCAGTTTCCCCTGTTCTGGGCAGAGTTGCTGCCTTGGCACCATCTATACAACAGCCTGTTTACTTACCATTGTTCCTGTTCTCTGGCCTGCCTATACTGCTGGCAGGAAGCACTATCAATTTATCATGTTTTTTTCTACTCCTAGGGGAAGAGGGAAAGTTATGTATGCCAACGGATTGTGGATTAGTAACTAGCCAACTGGTTCAAATCTTCATAATTGTTAACAGCTTCTAAAAGTCCACAAGACATTGGCCATATATTTTCAAGCTCATCTTTGCAGTCACATAGAGTAGAATCTGGCTTTAAAATGAAGAAAAAGGAGATACTTGGGATACTGAAACCTGTGCCAAATTCAGTTTTTCTACTGTCAGAGTGTGGGTTCCAGAACTACATCCTTGTTTCTCAGCTTAAACCATGTGTTTAAACTCTGCATCTTAGACAGAAGCAATGTATTTCCAACTCAAGCCTTCTTTCCCGATTGCAGATTAACAAGGCAAAAGACAGAAAGATCCACAAGCAAACCTCTCATTCTGAGAATGAAATCGGTGTGACCTCTGACCTGATTGTGGAGCTGCTGGCACTTCCAGAGGGTGAAGCTACATCTTCTGCACTTGGCAACAGAAAGCCAGCTAAGTTAAGTGCATCCCGAACCATTTGTCCCTTGATGCTCACGTCCAAAGGAGAGTTTGAATGAAGGCTGCAAAGAAAAATAGCATATTGCTGGAAACCTTGATTGGACAGGCCTAACTTCAGGTCTTTCCTCTGACCCCTGACAGTTTTGTTTAACATTCATTTGATTTAAAGTTCTCCAAAACAAGATGAACTCTGAACTTATGGCAAGATAACATTTACACAACAGGAACAACCTTGATCCTGTTGTATCTGTCATCCCACTTCATTACACTGCTTTATAATGCCCTTGCCTCCTGTTCCCCTCAGATTAAGAGGTGCAAAGCACAAATACATCTAAAAAATCCCTAGTAAAACATGCAGTGTCTTCAACAAAAAAGAAGGTCAAGCATAGGCTAGTGGAACAAGCTTAACATAATAGGTGATATCCACTCTGTAGTGAAATACCCCCAGTCAACCTTACCTAGGGGAGATATTGACTTCTAGGATCCACGGCTTAAGGTTCTCATCCAGCATGACATCAAACCCAAACAGCTCATGGCAGCAGTAAGGGCGCCGCACATACATCTTCACAAGATTGATTATATAGGGCTCTGACCTGAAAAAAGTGAAACACATCCTTAGTTGTTCTTGATCAGCAACATTTATTTGCCACAAAAGCAGCTTCTCAGAATCTGCTGTCTTATACATCACTTTATCTAAGCATGTGAGACAAACAAACCACAAAATTAAACTTCAGCAGTAGTTTACCCCACACTGCAGCTGACAGCCTCATAAAGGCCTTTAGAAGGAGGTGAAAAATCTGCTCTTGCTTTAAATTATTAATTTCTACACAAGGTAGTGTAGTAATTCAGTCATTCAGGAGTCAAATCAAAACAGACCTCAGAAACAACAACACAGTAAGAATCAACTGTGGGTCCTGATGGCAATTTTTACAGCACTGTATTTTTAATTGTATTTTAATTTTGTTTTTTTGTTTTTTGTATTTTAATTGTTTTCAATTGTGAGCCACCCAGAGACCTTTGGGTAGAGTGGGCGGCATATAAGTTGAATGAATGAATGAATGAATGAATGAATGAATGAATGAATGAATGAATGAATAAATAAATAAATAAATAAATAAATAAAACACTATTTTAAAAGTAGAGATAAAGTGTATATTCAGAAGTCATCAAGTGAGGACATGCATTTCCAAGTACCTATTGCAATGGTTTCCAGCCTTGGCTCCTCAGATGTTCCTGGACTAAAACTCCCAGAAGCCTTCACCACTAGCTATACTGGCCAGGATTTCTAGGAGTTGTAGTCCAAGAACATCTGGGAACCCAAGGTTGAGTGATTTCTCAAACAACAAAGAAAGAGGGGAAAGAATGTGACCCTGAGACTCACGCAATGATGGTTTTGACAACAATGTCTTTTATCTTCTCCCATATGGCCTCACTGTCAACTCCTTTCTCGGTCAAATAGTTCCAGAGTGCCTTCAGTGCCCTATGGGAACAGAACATGTGTGTAGATGCATAGAAGTGCCTTAGTGTTACTCCAAATAAAAACCATATAACCCCCTTCACTCCTCTCTGAAAAAAAATGCAATAGGGACATTTGCCCTTCTTAGCAAGTTGGGACACCTTTTGTCTCCTTTCTACTGAAAGAATATGACTGTACAAGGACGGCTTTCAATATGACTGTACAAGGACGGGTTTCAGTATGACTGTACAAGGACGGCTTTCAATGACATGGGTGAGGCAGCTAAGTTCCCTGAGCAAAAGTAAACTCATAAAAGACCTTCGCCTGTTTTCCCACTGACACTCACCACTTGTGACCCTGGCAAGCAGTTTCATCTGTATTGGACTTATATTCGACATTCTTCTTATTGATACTGTAATTGGTCAAGTGCATATACTTGTTGCTGAGGCTCTTCATCGAGGAGGAATATCTGCAGCAGAGGAACAACAAGATACTTTCACAAAGCACTGGCATGGTTCACTGAAATGAATGGTCAGAAGTGCAAATCTCATGATGTACGAGAGACAGAGGCACACACCAGTCCTTAAGTACATCCACTCTGCTCATGCCTATCAAGGCTACCCCCTCCACAAGCAAATGAGAACAATGTCTGCAATACTCTGCAGAAAGGCACATATAAAAAATGACAGAACTTCAATTAGAGTCTTCAAAATCAACAAACCAATCTAAAAATCATGTCATACTTGACTATTAAAAGAGATAGATATTAAGATGCACTGTGAAAGTTAATTTTATACTGTCTGGGAATTATAGTCACAACCACAGGAAATGAAAATGAGTGTGATCTGTTTTGTGAAGAAAACTGTGAATAGTAGTGTGGTCTTCTTAACACTTCTGTTAAAGTATGCATCTATCACAAGGAGCAGAAATATTCAAGTTGTAAAGAAAAAAGCTAAGGTTTATGATTATACGCTGAAGAAATCAACAGCTTAAACACTGTTGATATATTTTCTTTTTACCTGTTCAAAGATTCTTTTTATTTTGTTGTGTGTTTTAGCATAAATTTTACAAACCCTGCTAACTGTTTTGCAGACAAGAGTCACAAGATATTATACTCATGTATGTCACTGGTCAGTGCTATGACACATGCTTTGTTTAATGTCACCGAAGATATTAAAGCTGTATTTCACCAGAAACATTCTCACATTTAGCTGTGCCAGCATTACAGCAGCAGTATAGAAGGGGACACTGGCTGCTTGCTTGGTTCGGATATAGGGATAAACCATGAAAAAGAGTCCCTGTTCTGAAGTTTAAAGGAAAATCTCAAGGTTAGTGCAGGGGTTTGAGGATGATTGTTGTTTAGCTCATGTTGAGCTGTGTCGTCAGCTCAACATGAAATCCCCCTTTTTTAAAAGTTGTGGAGCAAAGAGGGGGATCTGGAAAGCACAACAATAGCATTGGAGCCACATACAGGTCAAGAGTTGTGCGCTTTCCACCTCTAAGCTAAATCAAGTAAAACTGGTTCTCAACACCTACTGTTTATACGGACAGCGGGAAGTTGTACCAAGGCCACCAGCAATAAATAGTTAATCTTGTTTTTAAAGCCACTGTATGTGAACTGGTATTCTAACTGATAACCAGTCTGATCCTCTTATGCAGGCTATTAATATCCACCCTCTTAGAAACATCTAATAAGCAACTAATTCCTGAGGAACATACTTGCAACTGGCAAAGCGAACAAGTCCATCTTTGAACAGGTAGACACGAAGTGGATCATAGCATGTGACGTAAACATAAATCCGTAAGTCAAACTTACTTCCACCAATGAGGTAGGGCTTATGTATGTACCTACAACAGAATGAGAGATAACAGAATCATATGACTTTTATTACAAAAGGAAGAGCTTTAATATTTAATTCCAGAACACCTAAGATTTTGTCACTAGCTTCCCTCACAACGATCAGGGACGTGGTGGCGCTGCAGGTTAAACCGCAGAAGCCTCTGTGCTGCAAGGTCAGAAGACCAGCAGTTGTAAGATCGAATACGCACAACGAAGTGCGCTCTCGTCGCTTGTCCCAGCTCCTGCCAACCTAGCAGTTCGAAAGCATGTAAAAATGCGAGTAGATAAATAGGTACCACTTGGTGGGAAGGTAATGGCATTCTGTGTCTAGTTGCGCTGGCCACGTGACCACGGAAACTGTGTTCGGACAAATGCTGGCTCTATGGCTTGGAAACAGGGATAAGCACCGTGCCCTAGAGTCGGACACGACTGGACTAAATGTCAAGGAGAACCTTTACCTTTACCTCCCTCACAACAGCTCACTATTCCACACCACAAGGAAAGATCTCATTGAATGAGGCTTTTGAATGCAATTCAATAGCTCCTCCATGACTCAACTCCTCCACTCCTTAGTGAAAGCACAAGAAACCAACTTCACAGAACAGTTGTAGCTTTACAAGAGAAGAAAGCATTATCAGATACCAGGACCTGGATATATCCAGAACCCTAGCCAGTTTGTTTTTTGGCAGGGTTAAGAAGCCTAATTTGTTCATATTTTAAAGGAACACATTGCTCACCTTTGCACCAGCAGTGGCCTGCGCTTGGGTAACTGGCTCCACTTATGGATTACCTGGATTCCAATGCCTCTAGCTGACGCTGGCTACAGAAAAAGAGAAAAAAACACATAATATCCATTTGCCACTGTCCTACAATTCAAAACAAGACAGTATTAATAAAGGCTACAGATGTATCCTTTATCTGTGAAATTAATTTTATATGGTTGGCCTTTTCAATGCAATTTTAAATTCAAATTCAATTAAACAGATCAGTTAAAATTAGCATGGCAGTAAAACAACTTTTTTCATGGTTGGAGAAAAAGGTTTTATCAGTAAAGGCTTTGTACATTCAGATGTTAGTGTAGAACAGGCTGGTTTCTACAGATAGTGTAAAGACCCTTTCTGTCAATGACTGATTTCTAAAAATGTCCCTGTTTGAAATCACGCTGTACAGCACAGCCTCTGTCTACTATTCATCCTTTACAGCTCTCCTTGTCCACTCTCTGCCTCTCACCTTTCTTTCATGCTCATCCACTGATTTAAGGAACTCTCTTTTCATTGAGACATTCAAGATTTAAAACATCTCAGACAAAATATGAAAGAAAGAAAAAACCTGCACCTTTGCTAGAGGAGAAAAGGGCATTTTTATTAATAAGGTAGGCAGGGAACAGTCCAGCTTAACCAAAGCAAAAGTCACAAGAAACATGGCCCTATTCATATCTGGATAGCCCCTCCATTCCCTCACCGGCTTCACAATCCATTTCTGACGACTCCCGCAATCTTCCCAAGCCTTCCTGAGCAACTTGATATCTTGAGGCAGGATGAATGACTGTGGTAGAAAGTTGAATTCCCTCTTTCCAAAGCGTAGCTGCATTTTGGAAATGTTTCTCCATAGTCGGTCCTTCCGACCAATTTGGAATGAGCCAGGAAAGTGGTTTAACTGGAGGCAAAAAAGAAGTAGGCAAAAACAAAACAATGAGTGCATGTTCCCTCTTGCTTAATATATCTGAGAAGTACCTTCTCCTCCAAATTAAGGTACAACTGTGAGAATATCCCTTATCAAAGGCCCAGGCCAATACACCAGGAAATCATTCATACGATGTTAGCATGCCCTCACTGTAGGGTCTGACACACTGTGTCTTACAAACCTAAGAGGTCTCCTTCAGAAGCACAGTCACAGGGGAGAGGAAGAAGAGGACACTGCAGCAGAAGCAGAAAATCATCTGTGACGTGCAGCATAAGGATGTGGAAAACTGGAGAGACAGGATGCATTTCATCCTTTCTATGCATCTTGCATGGGGTTCTTCATTATGCTGTGCTGTAGCATGACCACGTCCCCATACCTTTTGGTGTTCTCTGATAACTCTGAACCCAGGAGATTTCATGTGATGACCCCAGCAACCAAGCCAGTCATTGTTTCCTGTGGGCAACAGGGCAGTTCTGAGATGATGATCTTTGTAATATATGAAATATATTTTGCCTCTCTACAGCCAAAAACAATCTCAAGCATGTAAGAATTTCAATCTGGCAATTATGAATTGGAAATATTCTCCCAAATATTAGCATCACAATGTCAAATGTGAATCCAAGCCCTGCTCAGGTAAGTGCACAGATACAAAACATCACATCTGAGTCCCCACTCCCTGTTCTGTGTCCATCACTTTCATCAAAAGAGGAAAGGACCGCCATATTTATAAAATAGTCTACTTGAAAGAACAGTGATACCCGTATTACCACAAACAGACCAAAACCAATCTCTAGATGTGTATCTAGCTTTAAAAGAATTGATAAAATGTAGATGCAGCATGACAGCACTTCCCAGCCTCTGTAAACACAGCCTATGCTGAATCTTGGGTAGTTGTACAGAAAACATTAGTACCTTAGGGGCAGTAATGAGTACTGCCAAAGGAAATATGAATGGCAAAAAAGCCAGATGCATTGCTCAAAACTTCGAAGGAAGGAGCAGAAGAACCACAATTAGATCTGTAGAGTTGTGATTTGAAGCATTAAGCAAAGTCCTCAATGCAAGAGAATAATCAGATTTTTAGGATCTTTATCACTTTGCTACTGAGATGCAGATGTTTAAAATGGGAGAGCAAATTTTCTAACACCCATCTGTATCCTAAGGCAAAGCTGTGGCTACTTGAACTATTTAAGAGATAAAGCATGCACCTACAGACCACTATCACACTAAAGAGAACTCACTCTTGCTGATTTTGAAGTGGGACCGGGCAATCGTTTGTTTCACAATGTTTGGAGTCACCGTGCTCATCTTCCATCGCAGCAACTTCCTCTGGTCCCAGGGGAGCTTTTCCACTAGGAAAGAAGCAAGCCCTACTAATAAAGTAATATCCAACCCAAGGTGCACCCATTCTGCAAGTTCAGCTTGGAGATATCGATATTAAAATAGCTTTGGAAATAAAAAGCTGCTACCTTATTCTAACATGGTCTGCTGATGAATGGATGGGAGATGCTTTGGGATGGGGAAGACACGAGAGGATAGGCTTAGGATGAAAGGTCAAGCTCAGAAAGTTAGCAAGAAGCTATCTATCTGCATGCACATCCCAAGTATTCAAGACCAGCTGTAAACATTCCAGGACCACAGTTTGTTTATTTATTTTATTTATATCCCGCCTATCTGGACAGTTATGACCACTCTAGGCGGCTATGCTGACTGTCCATTACCCTGTTTCCCCATTATGAAAATTCCCAGGCCAGAGCAGAACAAAGAAGAGAAATGGGTGTGTCTCTGGTATAAAGGAATCTGTATGTTTAACCTCTTTACTTTAGGGCTGGGCAGAAAAGAGACTTAGTTCCGTCTACTCTGATATTAAATGGAAAGCCAAGGTGAATGCACATGAAATGTTAATACCCTTGTTCCAAGCATTTGAATTCCAAATCTTTTCAGTAGTGACCTCAAGGTTCTACAGCTTCACATACTATACAGATTACACTTGCCTCTTAGCTTCACCAGAACATATAGGTTGCTCATTTTGCAAGCCAGAGACTTCCTCTGCACATATACTTAAAGTGTAATTACCACCTGCATCTCATGGTGATTTCCTCACCTTATAAAATTCTGTTTTTATCTCAAAGTCTAACCCACTATTAATGTTTTATATTCTGCCAGAAATGAACACAGATCTATCTTACCTCTCTCATCCCGAGTACCAAAATATAAGGTGGGAGGCACACTGGGGAATAGGCTGCATATGAGAGCTGGCTTCAGAATTCGCTCTTGGCCTTCAAGTGGAGGCACCAATCCTTCAACACAATTCCTAGGAAAAGAAAAGAAAAAAGTTGCCCACTGAACTGGCCTTAGAAGAGCAAAGAAGCCAAATACCCAGTACAATTGGAGAATTAGCAGGATAGCATCTTCTCTGGGATATCTGTTTTTGTCATATGCAGTGCAATTTAACTTCAGATCAACTGCAAAAGGGACGGCAAAGAAACTCAGGGATCCTATGATGTCTTCCAAAAAAAACCCCAAGATCTAAATTGTCTTTTGGCCCTCTGGCTTAGCTGCTCTGTTTCTGTTTACAGAGTGCACAGATAGTGAGTTTAAGACAATCTGTCAAGGCAAAGAAAGCATGTTTAAGATTTTATACATAACCCACCATCTGGGTTTAACTAGAACAAAATGCCACACCTCATTGTGGACAAAAGCCAACTTATTTCTTTTCTGAAACTAACCTGGATATAATAGCTACAGAACCATTGGGGGATAATCCAGCTGATGAAGAACCATCTGATTCACCTGAAGAGAAAGGCAAAAATAGGTAATGGGTACAAAATCTTGGTCACACCCTATCAACATGTGAAGAAACTCAGCCATCACTTTTTTAGCCTGTTTTATGTTTAACAAAGCAAAAGCTCTCATCATAAAGTTGGGATGTCCTTAACACACTCTCCCGTGCTATGTATTCAAGAGCTGTTCCTATGTGGCTAGGAGAGCATTTAACATCCTTGCAGCTAAAAGAATGCCTAAAGGGCACAACTGCTTCTTCATAATGGCTTCAAACAAGTCCCAATATCCTCTAGAATGAGCGATGAAATCAGAGCAAAATGTACTACTGTTTGTACAATCTGAAAAACCAACAGACCTCTGCCCAGCATATTAATTTCCTCCACTACCGTTACATTGGATTTAGATCATAGTAGAAATCATTTTGGCTTTTTATAAGATTAAAATTGTGTTTTGAAATGACAGCAGCTGGCATATTTGCCTGGAGGTAATCCATTGTATGAAGTCTTGTTTCTGTGTGCCTGTGTATCCGCATTAAAGTACTCTGGGGGAGAGGAGGGTCAAAGCTAAATGCTACAGACCTTCCCCGTCTTCTTCTTCCCCTTCCTCATCCTGACTGCAGGCATCCTCCAAACCATCAGGAAGTTCTTCCTCTACATCTTCCACCTCTGCTTGGTCCAGCAGGGGCAGGTTGACTGCAGCTCTACAACACAAAGTTATTACAGCAACAAAGTGGCTGGGTATCTCATCCACATTACTATACCCTCTCAGTGATGGAGACACAGAAGTTTCTAAACTAAGCTGGGCACACTTTGGCCCTCCATATGTTTTTCCTACAATTCCCATCAGCCCTCTCTAGTGTGCCTAGCAGCAAAGGGGTGTGCGAGTTGCAATTCAAAATATTTGGAGAACAAAAATCTCCTCTATCCTGAGCTATATCAACAAAGTGGAGCAAAATCATCTCACTCAAGAGGCAAATGAAGCTCCCCTATTGGAAGTTAGAGAACTACAGTACCAAACATTACATTTTAGTTCACTCCCAGGATCAGGAACAACTTCACAGTTTGTGGTTTTCCTCTGTGTCCATTATTTATATACTCACACAAAACACTACAGTATATACACCAGAACATACATGCCACATATATGTTTTGTTACAGGGATAATGCAAAAATAGTCAACCATTTTTGGCAAGGATGCTACAAAATTAATTTACAATGTATAAAGTTATGCAAGGTGTGGGAAGAGGGAAGAAAACCCATGGTAATGCTTTTCCCACAATCCTCTCTCATGATTCAACACTGACATCTAAAATGATTCGGCTATCAATGATGTCAGAATGATAACCCCCGAATGGTCCTGGAAAAAGTTAAAAAAACCCTGCAGTACTGCCTGATAGATAACAACACTTAAGATTACAGGATGTAAGAAAAATAGAAAGATGGTAGTATATGCTTCTATTCATAGTAAACACACCATGGGGAATGGACTGGAATATAGTGTTATTGAATTTTCCAGCTCATTCATATCCCATAAAGCTATTACTAGTAATCGTTCATTTAATTCTTACTTCACAGCCTACATCCTACCTGCAATTATATGTATGGTGCCGGAGTAATACTGTAATAAATATGTCTGACTTAAAGGTGCCACAGGACTCTGTTGTTTTAGTTGCAACAGGTGAACGTGGCCACCCTATGGAAAAAGCCAAGGAATTCTGAAAATAAACCCCCATCCCAGAGCAACAAAAACATGTCTGCCTATGGTACTTACTCAGCATCTTTCACAGTAGTCGGCTGCCCCCATTTTGTATCAGTCCCCAACTGAAGAGAGGAAATTTTTGTCTCCACTTCAGAGACAGCCATTCGTGGGGACAACTCTGTTTTTACCACCTGTTCTCCAATGTTCACAGATGGGGGACTGACAGAATAACTGGAGGTGTTGTGGTTTGAAGATTCAGGATTAGAGGCTACGAAACGAACATCGATGCGTTTAGTGCAGACACCGGCAACTTCTGTGCTTGTAAGGCTCTGGTGGCGGTTGCCAGATTCCAGATTCAGGGAGGTGGCGATGGGTATATCCTTTGGGGTGATCTGTGCTACAATGTGTGGTTTCCATCGATTAAACAGGCTGGAGTGGAAGTTTGTATTCATAAGGCAGGAACTGTCAATGCGGTGACCAAACTCATTGTAGGTACTGACCTTCCGGATACCACTTGCAGTCAATTTCCGCATAGCTTCCGCCAACTTCACATCTTGTTCTTTCAGGTTTTGTGATCTATTTTCACCATCCTCAAGTCTCCAAAAGGGTTGTTCTGCTTTAAGAACCATGCCATTATGCACAGATGAACGAGGAGATTTGGCACTGGTTTGCTCAAGGGCTAAGCCACTGCCCTTTAGAAGCTTCCGCTCATGATTCACAGAAGAACCATCTCCATTTCCTCCAGAATGAGTCCAGGAGAATCCTGGGGCCCTTGACAAGCCTCTCAGCTTTTTATTTTCTGGTGGCTGAGGTTGGTGTTGGTGCTGCTGCAAAGGCACTTTAGCACTTGTTGGCCTCAGGAAAGAGTTATTGTTTAGCACTGGTCTATATCCACTGGAGCTTTGCTTCCCTGAGCTGAGAGGCAAACCTTTTGACACTGGACTGGAACGCTCACCTGCAGTGCTAGGTATGAAGAATGGATCCATGGTTGAGGATGACATGACGTTACCGAGAACAGAGCGATAAGCAGGAGGTGGCACACGAAGAGGTTTTTTCTCCAAAATATTCGGTTGTAAGCAGATGGACTCAAGCCTCCGGTAAGGCTTGTGTCTGAAGTAAGAACGTCGATAGAGCAGGGTGCTTCCAAGGAAGTTGGGAAGGGGGTAGGGCTGAGGTGGAGGTGAGCTCAGCAACACTGCCTCACTGCATAACGATTCTGGGTACAAGAGGCGAGGACGCTGGGAAGAGATCCCTGAGTGCAGCAGTTGGTGATCCTGGAAAGCAGTCACATGATTCCGTTCCAGCTGCCAGATAGGCTTCACCTGCTGCTTTGCAAGGTACCAGGCCTTAGTGTTGTGAAGGTTTACTGTGAGTGGTGGCACTGTCAGCCCTGGTGAAACGCCCACCTAGAACTGGCTTCCCCTCTTGAGGCTTAGACTATAGGCTTCTGGCCCTGCTGATGCCATGTAGAGCCATCCCACACCCTCAGTGAGCACAGTCAGTGAACAGAGTCAGTCAGAGCAGCATCTTTACCATGGCCAGCCTGGGGTGGGGGGGAAACCACATACACACAAAAAACAAACTTTGTGAGTTCCAAAAGTAATATTCTAATTTGGCCTCCATTGTCATTGTTACAATGTCTGATGAATGACAGGGCCATGATGGCTGGCATAAAACAAAGCTCCTAGAGGATAAGTTACTGAGCAAAGGGCCTATGCCTTGTCCTGGTGACTACTGTAATAGGGCTCAGAACTAGACATAATAGCAGCCCTGAATTCACCTCATCAAGCAACAGCATTTTAACTCTTCATGCAATATGATCTGCTCTTGGTTATCCATTCAGGCAGCAACTCCTCTTAGGAGATGCTGTGGCAGAGCTTTGAAGTGCCAGAACCAAGAGTCAAACAGCATAGTTCACACACTGAAAGATACAGCATACAATTCATTTCTTGCTTCCTGCCCTTTTTTTCTCCTGTTACCTAGTCTTACTGTAAGACACAAGGAGCAAAAAAGAAGGGACAAAAGAGAGCCATGCCAACAAAATCACATAATTTGTTACATAAAGGGTTTTAACACGGATGTGCCAAGTGACAATTCAGTTTTCAGTCATATATCAAAATGGTGTCATCTCTCATGCTAGAAGTATATTGAAAGCCATTCCCCCCCCCGAACACATTAACTCTTGTGTCAATGGCACTATAGAATTAACACATTTTCATCATATGATGCATTATGATCAAATGCATTACTCCTCCATGCCTTTCCACTTTCATTATATATAATCTCAGGAATCAGATCTCCAGGCAGGTGAAGGAAATCTGATAGTGTAACAACCAGGTTATAAGGGAAAGGATGCCTGTTTTCTCATTGCAGATGTCTGTGCTTTAAAGGCAATATCCAAAAACCTTAATCTTAGTTTCAAAAAAAAAAAACCTCCTAGTGCAATATATTAAAAAAAAAACAAAACAAAAAAACACCTGGAGGCACAAGGAAATCATAGTCCAATTTTGAGTCTGAAAGTTAAAGCCACCAGTTTTATCCAGCAATGTAACAGGGACTAACAAGGAAGCTTCCTTCAATATGCTGACTTTTTAAACCTTCCAGCATGTTCATCTGGCGATCTATTAAAATAAGGTTTCAAAGGCTAGTAGGTTTAAAGGTGTGGATGGACTGAAAAGGATCATGGCAGAGCAAAGATCTAGGCAAAGAATGTCAGAGGCAACAAAATGCCTAAGACACATACTGATCAGAAGGGAATTCTCCCATACATTTCTTTGTAACACAGTTGATATTCAAGATCTTCATAAAAGAAACAGATTTTTGTGAAGAAGAAAATATACATAATAAGAAAAAGAAATCTGTTGTCCTAGAAAGAAAGCTACCCCAGACTGTTCAAGAGATAAGCTCTTGAGTGATCAAAGGCCATGCTCACTTTATATGGCCAACAAACAGTTCACAGAATTGGCATCAATGCAGCACTCCCAGTGTATTAAGAGTCCAAGACAGAATTGCATGGCTCTTCATGCAGCCTGAAAGGCATCTATATCAGAACACACTGCCTTTAACTTAGTAAAAACCCATTCCTGTGCCTGGACATACTTCAGGTTTGTAGAAGAATGACTTTTACTCTGACAACAACCTTCTATGCTATCCTAAAGCAAACTGCCTTGGTGCCAAGAGAACTGTCAACACACACTAACATTCTAGAACAGGACTTTGTGCCTACAATTCTGGCTACATGATGGAGTGTCCTTCCCAAGTCCTGCCCCTCTTCAGTGAAGCTGTACATATCTACAGCACCCTTCAGGACCCTCATGGAAGAAAGCATGCCTTTTCCATTCCAAATTTGTCAGGGTTTAATCAGTCAAAGGTTAGCTTACTTTGGAACCAACTGATAAACAGCAGTCCCGTTATTTGCTGTGAAAGGACCTCAATCTCCAATGCTCATTCACTGTCCCTGCTGTGGCCTGAAGATGCAGCTATGCTGGTGATTTCCAGATCAGAAGGCAACACTTGATACAGCTGCACATACTGGATTACTCAGTCTACACCCAACAACAAATTCCAACCTGTAACGACATCCAATACCTACATGCGGATTAAGACAAAACAAAGAGACTATACTGTGCTATCAGCACTTGGCAGGATAGAGTTTCCTCTTGTAAAGAGGTTGCTTGATATCCAACAGCTACTGTTTCTCAGGCAGGTTCTTAGGGAAAATTGATACTCCAACAATATTTGAGAGACTAAAACAACAGCAGTAGCAGTGCAATGAGATTATGAAATTATGAAGAAGATTCCTCAGATCCCAGCCAGGCCCCTTCAGAATTATTCCTCAGCAGGTCTCTAGAGAAGCTCACTCAGCCTAATTTAAAGTTCCACTGAAATGGAGTCACACAGGGCAGCCCATATCCTAAGGCAAGGGTGAGCAATTACGTTAATTTCTATGGGGGGCACATGAAAAATCTGAACTGTGTTCGGGGGCCGAACCAACTTTACTTAAAAGTAAAATGAAACAGTGACGTTATGATTGTTTTTATTTTAAACTTGTTAATCTTCACAAATACTAAAGAGCTTTTTGGGGGCATGTTAAAGATGAGCAACTGATCAACTCTAGACAAAAAGCTATAAATGGATTTGATGTTCAGCTTGTTCAGTGAGAGAAATCCAGTCTGTCTTGGGCTTGAAGAAGTGCTTGAACACCGGACTAGAGCGACGACCGGCGGGCCGGACAGGAGTGGCTCGCGGGCCGTATGTGGTCCTCGGGCCGCACTTTGCCCAGGTCTGTCCTAAGGGAAGGTGGCATTGTCCAACACCATATTTTGCAGCATAATTCAAGGGCAAAAAACCCTATCTAATACATAGTGTGTGTGTGTTTTCTACATACACACTATGTAGAAAACATCTGGATTTTCTGGTTTAGACCCCAAACTGAATTGGACCACTTCTGACTCCAAGGTATGAAAAGGCTTGTTTCTCTTACCAGCTGCCTGAAACAGTTCCCCTGTATACTAACCAATATGTGGGGTACTGAGACAGCTGCTAAGAGCACAGGGCAAACCAAGTGGCAAGTGAAAACAATGCATGTCAGACAACATTTCAGTACTGCATTGGATCCAGTGCTGATGAAATTGCTTCTGTCAATGGAACAAAGAGAGATGACAGACTTCTACTTCCCCATCAAATTCTGTTCCAGAAAACCAGAGTAGATTTTCAGGAGGCACAGAGTACTGTAAGAGAAAGTGTACAATGAGAAGAGGAGAAAGTTATCTTGCCCTAGTAGATTTCTGCTAACATGATGCTAGATTTACCTCAATGTCTCTAGGTTGAGAAATGCAGATTTGCCACTGGTACACGAACAACAATTTATCACTGCTAATTCAAAAAGAAAACAAGGACCATCATTATGCAGTGGTGGGATAGCAATGGTAGAATGAAGCAGAGAAAAATATTTTATCTTATTTAGTAGATCTCATTTCCAGACAGAATAATAAAGATATTCTGGAAAAATAAGGTTACCTTCCTCAGGATATTGGATGCAGGAAATTAAAAATGACCTCTTCCAATGGAAGTCAGACGAGCTGTGTGCTTAGAATACCAATGTTTTAGGGCAACCTTCTTCAGCTTAGTTGGCTTCCAGATGTGCTAGACTACGGTCCACCATCCTCAGCCAGCATGGCCTCTTTAGGGGAAAACCCTAAGAAAGAAAGAAAAAGAAAAATGTAACACAGCACAGAAAGAACAGAAACTCAAGCCAGAAGGAAGGTATTGGTGACAAATAGAACATCCCTGAACTCACATGCAGAAAAGAGATTACCTATTCAGAATAAAGTAGCTTTCTTCCTAAAAATATAGGTAAACTTCCATTTTGGGATTGGGTTTATAAGGACTAAGCTGGCTGGACAGCTCAGTGAGTTAGTATCCAGCTGAAGAGCCATAGGTTGGGAGTTCAATTCCATATTGTGCATCCCAGAAAGACCAGCCTGTGCCGTCTTGGGCAAGCTACACAGTCCCAGGATGCCCGTAGAAGAAGGGAATGATAAACCACTTCTGTACCATTGTACTGTATATCAGTTAACTGTACCTGGAAAACCCTGAAAAGAGTTGATATGAGTCAGAATTGACTTGATGGCAACTATCATTACCATTATCATCATGAAGTGATAAATGAGTCACAAGGACAGTCCAATAACAGAGATTACTTTGCCTATAATCTCTCAGTAAATACAGTAAATACAACTGACTTTCAACACATTCTTACACTACATAAGTGTAAGATGATTTGCAAAACTTTTATAGTAAGATCTGTGGACAAAGGACAACTACAACAACTCTAAAAGATACAAAAAGCTTAGCCTGCAAGGGCTGCAATGCCCTTCAGCAGATAAATCTAAATGCTATTCTGGTATGTATGACTCAGCTTGTGTGCAAGGAAAAAAAGAAAGACTGAAGAAGTATGTATACAAAAGATACTGAACAAGCAGCTCATTATAGCCTACAACACAGGCCACAGATGTGCTACATTCCAGAGAATATCAGATTTCAAGGTGTTTTCCCCCAGATCTCATGGTTTTAGACTACGAATTTCCACTGCAATCTGCAAAAGGCATGAGACTGTCAGACTTTAACAAGTACTGTATCTAAATAGAAGCAAATCTCAGAAAGCACTGTGTAAGACCATTTCACTTTGCACTAAAAACTAACAATCAGCAACACAGAAATATTGCATGCCCCAAGATTTGGTAGCATTTGATGTGCAGAGCAATCCTAATTAAATGCACTCAAAAGTAAGGCCAGATATGCTTAGTTGGACATGCTCTCAGATTTGAGTGCCTAGAAATGAGGTCAATGATTGTTTTAAACTATAACCCATGCCAGGTTTTTTTTTAATTCCAAATGCTTGGTTTTAGCCATAATTTCTACTTCCTCTCCTTTCATTGTTCATCATCTTCAAAAACCTTCAGAATATGCAAAAAGTCAAACCAATTCTTGAACATCAAAACAGAAGAATCCAATCAAGGTATCCGAAAAGCTCCCTGTTCTTATATACATAACAGTTGCAGGAACAGACCAATATATTAGCACAGACTCAACAGTGCTTTCCATGGAACTTGTAACTAGGCTTTTAAAAGAGATTAGTCACAGCACTGATACAAATATGGCCCACAGCCAAGAGAGTACTTGACACAGAGCAATTTGTGTGAAATGCACACAGTGTTCCATAGCAACCCAAGAAAATTTCAGTTGTTAGTGACAAACAGGATTTGAACTACAGCTACTGAAATTTGTCTAAAATAACTGTTCTCCATTCTTGACACAACAGAATAATTTCCATCCTATTCCTACATGCAGACAGCACATGCTCCCTTCATCATAATAGCTGCACTGAAATGAGGTTCAGAATGATTTATCAGGGAAAGAAAACTGCAATCATCATCTATTATTCACAGTCAAGAGCTCTCCAAGGAGTAATCTCACTCCAGAAGCTGTAGTTCTCAGAACTACCCATTGCTTTTAATGAAAGCAGTTGCACAATAGGTTGAACTCTTTAAAACCTAAAAATACTTCACAGTAAGGCCACCAGGCATTTTATTCTAATGTTTAAAAATTGCACAACAAGGATGCAGTAACTGCTTCTCTTCTGTTCTTAACAGCACAGTTTCATTAGAAATCCTGCCAGAAGGTTACTTTTCTTCTCTGTTGTTGTGCTAAAGAGTTTACCAGTAGACCAGAATACAAGAACAGCATTTTCACCTAAGTTACTTGTTAAGTGTGTGACTCCCATGGGGAAGAGAAAACAACGAAACTTAATCAGCATTAATTTCTCTAAATGATATGAAAGAAAACACGAATTACCAAGAGCTGTTTTCAGAGATGGGCAAATAAAGTATATGAAAAATAAAACTGCATCAGACTAACACTGAAAAATAAATAGCTGTGAAATATTTAACGTGTCCCAACTTGTCTTCCCACCTATGACTCAGCAGGATACACGGTATTATGAGAATACAAAGGTACAGTGGTGCCTTGCATAGCAATCGCTCCGTATAGCGATGAAATCGCTTTGCGATGGACTTTTTGCCATCGCGAGAGCGATCACTTTGCGATGGCCCCTATGGGGAAATTCCGCTTTGCGATGATCGCAGGGAAGCAATCATCGCAAACCCCCCATTTTCGGCCAGCTGATCGGCGGTTCCAAAATGGCCGCCCGCTGTTTTGCCTCGCTTTAGAGGCACTGAAAATGGCCACCAAAATGGATAATTTTCGCATAAGGTTGATTTTTAAGCCCATAGGAACACATTAAACACGTTTTAATGCGTTTCTATGTGCTTTTTAAAACCGTTTAGCGATAAAATTGCTTAGCAGCGATTTTTGCTGCGCCGATTAACATCGCTAAGCGAGGCACTACTGTAATTGATAAGCTAATTTTCTTCCATGTCTTGGTATCATCATAACTGACACTAAAGAAGCACTCACTGTTTTCTATATTTTTATATTCAAAGCAAGTTAAACAATATAACACTACCATGCTTCTACCCTATGAGTGTTTTCTTCAGACTGTCTCTCTCCCCTATTACTGTGATTGCATTGCCCTGTACTGTACTTCTTACCCTTACTCACAAATACCCAAATTCAGTCCATAACTTTCTCAAAACTGCTTTAACTGGTTTTACATCAGATTATATAATGGATTCTACCACTACAGAACCTGGAAAGCCTCTATTTCCTAAAGACCGTCACAAGCTCAGTAACAATTCTAGCTAATACACAAAAACTTGAACCACACTCTATTTGTTAGTCTTAAAGGTGCCACGAAGTTCTGCTGATTTTGCTGTAATAAAACAGAAGGTGTCTATCTTCAGACTAGATCAGATGGAAAGCTCTTTAATCTCTCTAGATTGAGAGCGAAGATCAAAGTCCAGCTGAAATGCATGCGGGACTTCCGATTTGTCGATGATGCAGCCATTGTTGCCCACTCTGCTGAAGACCAACAACTCATGAATTGTTTTAGCAAGGCCTGCCAAGACTTTGGACTAACAATCAGCATGAAGAAAACACAAGTCATGGGCCAGGGTGTGGACTCACCTCCCTCTATTACCATCTCCACACAAGAATTGGAGGTCGTTCATGACTTTGGGTACCTCGGCTCAAGAATCTCTGACATTCTCTCCCTAGATGTCGAGCTGAATAAACGCATTGGCAAAGCAGCTACCATTTCTCTAGACTCACAAAGAATGGCTCAATAAGAAGCTGACAGCATATACCAAGATCCAGTCTCTAGAGCCTGTGTCCTGAGCACACTCCTACACTGCAGTGAGTCCTGGACCCTTTGTGCATGGCAGGAGAGGAAGCTGAACACCTTCTATATGCATTGCCTCTGACGCATTTTTGGTATCACCTGGCAGGACAAAGTTCCAAATAGAGTAGCACTAAAATGAGCTGGAATTTTTAGCATGTATACATTACTGAAACAGCAATGTCTACATTGGCTTGGGCATGTTATGAGAATGACTGATGGTCAGATTCCAAAAGATCTCCTGTATGGAGAATTCGTGCAGGGAAATCGCCCCAGAGGGAGACCACAGCTGCAATACAAGGATATCTGCAAACGGGATGTGAAGGCCATAGGAATGGACCTCAACAGATGGGAAACCCTGACATCTGAGCGTTCAGCCTGGAGGCAGGCGTTGCATCGCGGCCTCTCCCAATTTGAAGAGACCCTTGTCCAGCAGGCCAATGCAAAGAGGCAGTCACGAAAGCAGCAAAATCAGGGAGCTAGACAGGAGACAAATTGTATTTGTCTTCAGTGGGGAAGGGATTGTCACTCTTGAATTGGTCTTCTCAGTCACACTAGACGCTGTTCCAAGTCCTCCATACAGAGCATGTTACCATAGTCTCTCGAGACTGAAGGATGCCTAATCTAATCTAAGCTACTACTCCAGACATTCTTGGGATAATATTTAAATTTGTACCCAATTGTGTCTCCTTGCTCATGGAAAACATTTCAATCCAACAGAAGCAGTTGTGAGCAGAAGGTAGCAGAAGATTCCCTCTGCACTTCAGTGCAGCAATCATGCAAAAGTTTGGAGTTTTCAAAGAAGTAGTGGTATTATGTTTGAAGAAGTGGATGTATCCATGAAAGCTTTAAGGTGCCATGGCATTTTTGTTTTTGTTTCAGTTTTTAGTTTTGTCTGGACATTCAAAAGACTGGGATAATCTTTGGAAAAATATGAGGAACAGAAGAACTGAACATATTAACTTTCTTGATCCAGAAGAAAGTGAAAAATATACTGTCCTCCTGTTCCCAATAGCCTCTGTTGGATCAGAGTCTTCCATGAGTAGAAGTGGGAAGATATCATTGATACCTAGGTAGGAGTTTATACAATTAGTACAGTGGTGTCTCGAGTTACGAGCGTCCCTACTTACAACCATTTCGAGTTACAACCAGCTCTGGCCGCAAAATTTTGCTTCTACTTGCGACTGGAGCTTCCACTTACGAACAGAAAAAGACTGAGGGAAAAGGCAGGAAATTCAAATTTCTAACTGTAGGTGGAGACGAGGCTGCTTCTTTGTAGCTCTTTCACCCCAGCAGTTAGAGGGGGTGTGTCATTGGAGGAGGCTTGGGACTGCCTCCTTTTGCTTCTCAGTGAGCATGTGTGTTTGCAGGGAGGCTTCAGGCTGCCTGGTAAGGTAAGGTGCTGTTTTCGGCTTTTAAAAAACTGTTCTGGGTGTTTTTGCAGTGTGGTTTTGAGCTGGGGGGTTATGTCTCTGTGCTGTGATGGGTCTTAGAGGGGTTGTTTGTTTTTTGGTGTTTCTCTCCCCCATTTCCGATGGGTCTTGGGGGGTTTTTGTTGCTTTTTGGAGTGTTTTTTCCCATTTCCAATGGGTCTTGGGGGATTTGTTTGGTTTTTGTTTTTCCCCCCATTTGCGATGGGTCTTGGATGGTTTGTTTGTTCTTGGCTCCCCCCCATTTCCGATGGTTATTGGGGTGTTTGGTTGCTTTTGGGTGGTCCCCATTTCCAATGGGTCCTGCATGCTTCCCTTGTTTTTTCCTTTTTCTTTGCATTTCCAACCTGCCCCCTTTGTTCTCTGTGCATTTCCGATCTCCTCCGTTTTCTGTGCATTTCCAATGGGTCTTGAATGCTTGATTGCTTTTCTCCCCCCCCCTTCAGCCAGAAGTGATTTAATCGTGTTTCCAATGAATCTTGCAGTGATTTTTTTTGTGGTGATTTTTTCTTCGGCTGGAACGGATTAATTGCATTTTAATGCATTCCTATGGGAAATGGTGCTTCAACTTACGACCATTTCAAGTTACGTCCGTCTTCTGGAATGGATTAAGGTTGTAAGTTGAGGCACCACTGTATTACCGCAGCACTTCTGAATGTTCAAAGTGCTTTACACACATTTCTTCACTGAAACCCTCCAAGCTGTCCTATTTAAAAAGTATCCCTGTACAGTATTGCTGATGGAGAGAAAGTAGAACTTCCCTAAGATCACCGATTGAGTTCATGGTAGATGCTACCTTGTTTTCCTCTTCCTTCATTTTATAGTTCCCTGCTTATGCTTTCCTTGTTTGTAAGGCTTTCTGTACTATTTTTCTCCTTTATTTTCTCTCCACCTGAAGTTCCCTACAACTGAACCCAACTTCTAACTTTTAGAGGTCTCTCTCTCTTCCCCTTTATGCCCCTTCTTGAGAGCCAAATCCGTAACAAACATTTTCAAGAAATCTCTCCTGATTTTCTCTGTACCTTTTTAGAATGCCCCCTTCCCCAGGATTCTACATGGAATGTGGACTAAAAACCCTCCAAGCAAGGGCTATCATACAGTTTTTATGTTTTGTGCAGCACTGTCCACTGATATTTTCAGTTAACCCTTACGTTAAACAGCAATAGTGGTATTACGTACAATTGCTACGTACTGAGGAGACAATAATCAAAGCCAGACGCCTGCTTCTTGGGAGGAAAGCGATGACAAACCTTGACAGCATCTTAAAAAGCAGAGATATCACCTTGCCAACAGAAGTCCGAATAGTCAAAGCTATGGTTTTTCCTGTAGTGATGTATGGAAGTGAGAGCTGGACCATAAAGAAAGCTGACCGCCGAAGAATTGATGCCTTTGAATTGTGGTGCTGGAGGAGGCTCTTGAGAGTCCCCTGGACTGCAAGGAGAACAAACCTATCAATTCTAAAGGAAATCAACCCGGAGTGCTCACTGGAAGGACAGATCCTGAAGCCGAGGCTCCAATACTTTGGCCATCTCATGAGAAGAGAGGACTCCCTGGAAAAGACCTTAATGTTGGGAAAGTGTGAAGGCAAGAGGAGAAGGGGACGACAGAGGATGAGATGGTTGGACAGTGTCACCGAAGCAACCAACATGAATCTGACCCAACTCTGGGAGGCAGTGGAAGATAGGAAGGCCTGGCGTGCTCTGGTCCATGGGGTCACAAAGAGTCGGACACGACTAAACGAACGAACGAACGAAGGTTAGAATTCTCAAAATACTCTACTTTTTCAACCCAAAAGCTTACTAAGCTAAGCAACATGACTACCAACCATTTGGAACACCTACCTTTTGCACCTCAGTGACTTGTCACTAGATCTAAGCTAGCTACAGTGTGAAACAGGATGCTGACCTAGATGATCCTGTGGCCTCATCCAGCAGGCCCTGTATACTGTTGCTGTGTGTTAACCTAACCTCACATGGCTAGTATCCAGTATTGCTCTTCTGTTTGTGGAAAGGGTTCTTTGATCAAGCAGACTCCAAATATAAGTGGAAAAGGGAGAAGATAACTGTTTCCAGTTCACCCACCAATCAGCTCCAAGGACCATAAGAGGTGGGGCAGTGAGACTGTAAAGAGAAAATCAGGACAACTTTCTTTCCCCACTTTCATTCACAGAGGCTTCAGTTGGATAATGGGTGAAATTACAGAATCCCAAGAGATGGCTGCTGCTTAACTACCTCTAACAAAAAGGATGCACTTCTTCACAATGCTGTCTATTCTACTTCACTTAAAATTCTGAAGTTTCTCCTTTAGACAAAATCTGCTTCCCTATAATTATCTATTGGTTTTAGACCTGACCACTGTAGTAACAAAGGACAAGTCTGCTCTATTTCCATATATTTGAAGGTCATTATAATGCATCTCCCTGATTTTCTGATCTCAAGGTTAAATATATCTAACTCTTTCTATCCTTTCTCATAGGACTTGGTTGCCTTCCTTAAGCTCTACAGTGGGGTCTTGACTTGAGAACTTAATCCGTATTAGAAGGTGGTTCTCAAGTCAAAAAGTCTGTAAGTCAAGTCTCCATTGACCTACAGTGCATTGAAAACCGATTAATCCCGTAACAGGCCGTTTTTGTTCCATTTTGGGTTTTTTCTGGTCTGTAAGTCAAATCTCAGTCTGCAAGTCAAACCTAAATTTTGTGGCCAGAGAAGTCTGTAAGTCAAGCCATCTGTAAGTCAAGGGTCCACTGTACTTTGATGTACTTTGTAAAATATAGCAAACAGAACTGGATACTGTATTCCAGTCAACTACAGCCCAGTTTTGAACAATGACTTCCCATCATCTGGCCAGTAGCTGATGAAGCCTGCTTTCTTGCTGGCTACTAAATAGTAGTTATTGGCTCATAATGATCTTGTGATCTACTACTAAACCTAAATTATTTTCCTAAACTCTTATGTTGAGTTATGTCTGATCTTTTTTCAAAACTGAAATCTTGCAGCTTGCATAAGTAAAATGAAAACATGGACTGAGCCAAATGCAAATAACCCTCATGTTATGTCAGTCAATATTGGTGCATACAGCACTCTTGAATGGGAAGAAGTAGGTGAGAAATTTAAGTTCCATCTTTAATTCAGTAGACTAGGTATTGCTTCCACCACTGTTGTGTCACTGAATTAAAAACAAGAGATAATGACTAAGCAAATTTAGGTGATGATGATTATGACAAAAGTGAAACAATATGAGAGATTACCTGTCTGCTGATTGCTAAGACATAGCATAAAAATGAGGAGGAGGAAGCATCAAATTAGCAGCAAGAAAGGACAAGACAGAGGCAACGGATAAAGTTCTTCCCCAAGGAAATCTTCCTTGAAATTAAATTTAAAATTTTTCCTTTTGAAATTAAAATCTTCCACCTGCACCTTGTGATGAATATCATTTGAAACCACCCACTCAACATGCAGAGACGGTATGCTACCAGAACAAGTCCATCTTTTGTTTCAGCATTCTATAAAGCGGGCAACATTTGACAGGAAAACAGCGGGAAGAGGTACAGATCATGGGGCAGATCATGGGGGTACAGATCATGGGGCAGGCGCCCTAAATGACCCAAGCTTCCCATCTTGAACCTAATGAAAGGAAGTTCGATTTAGAGACATATAACTTACTTAAAAAAAACACTTAGAAGCACATGGTATAATGATTGCGAGCCCAAAGATGCTATTTTCCCCCAACCTACGCCCAGAAAGGGAGGGAGGGAGAGAATAGCAAAGGCAGCTGTCTACACGGGGAACCGAACGTATGAGCTTTCTTTCTTCATCCACCTGGAAAATAACCTAACACCACCCGGAGAAGGGGTGAAAGACTGTCTTGCAAATGAACTCATGGTGTTCAATGCAGATTATCTCGAGCCTCGTGCGTACGCCTAAGAAAACAAGGCGGGTACTTAAGTTTCACGCCGGCTCAGACTAGGTTCGACACCCCCACAGAAGAGGGTGGATAGAGAAAGAGAAGCGCCCACCAAGAGGCCCCACTAACTTACCGGCTCCTGGGCGGGCGGTGGTTTGGCCCCTTTCGGCCCAACCCGAACCGCCCGCCGTTACCATAGAGACACTTCCGGCTGAGGCGGGACCAGAATGCCGCGTGTGGCACCGGCAAGCGCACGACCTCACTACAGTACAAGAGAACGACCGGTGCGGACACAATCCCTTCAATGCCCTGCATTAGGAAAAGGCGGGAACGGGATCTCAAATGACTTCATCTCCCATCATACTCCGCGCCATTCGGCTCTCGGACTTCCCAGCGTTCCGCGCTCTAGAAGGCGAAACAAAAAAAAGAGAGTGTGTTTTTGACGCAGGCGCGTACGTTTCACACGCTACTACTACATTTCCCAGCATTCCATAAGGGACATGCCAGAGTAGGGTTTTTTCCTGGAGGGAGGGGGCGGGCTAGAAAGAAGCGGAGCCCCGTCCAGGCCGGGCCAGTAGTGGAATGCCTGTACAACAGTACTGTAGTATAGTAAGGGCATGGCTGGATGACGTCATTGAGCCCGGGGAGCGGAAGTAGGTGGGGCGAAAAATGCCAAGGTTTCCTTCTTTGCAGTCAGGAAGGTGGAGTCTGGTTGCTGGTTGGGGTAGATACCTGTTCGTTTTTTTCTCCCTTTTTCAATATTTCACCGAGTCCTTTTTCCTCCGCGTTTTTCGCCCCATTACCTTTTCTTCACCCATCTTCCTCACCTTTTTTTTTTGCTCCTCCTCCCCCCCCCGCCTTAGCCACCCATGGGTGCTGCTGCAGCTCCTCCTCCTCCGCCAGTCATCTTTCCCACCCCGCTCTCTCCGGGGAGCTCCGGCTGCGCCGCGCTCTTTCTCTCCCTTGCCCGCCGGTGACACCTCTCTTTCTTTCTTTCTTTCTGAGCTGGTAGCTTGCAATCCTAGTTTGTCTGTCTGTCTGTCTGTTTGTTCCTCCCAGCAGGTGGGACTCCCTTCCCGCCACCCGTCCACAGCGGAGTCCAGCCCACCCAGAGCGCCATGGAGTTCCCAGACCTGGGCGCCCACTGCTCGGAACCGTCGTGCAAGCGCCTGGGTGAGGAGCAGTGCTTTTAGCGCCGCGTCTTCTTCTCCTGCTGACCCCCCCCCAAAAAAACACCCCTTTGCCTCAGGGGCGGCGGGCGGCGGGACTCAATGCTGTCTTGAAACAGGCAGCCCTGTAAAAGAAAAGTGACGCCCCAGCCCCTTGTTTCCGGTTGTGTGCTGGAGGAGATGGAGGGGCCGCCTGGGGGTTCAGTTCCCTCCACAATTCGGAGTAGCATGGTAGCCTGTAGCAGATGGTACTCTAGAGCCCGGACTTTTTAGGGCTATTGAGGAGTGTGTGCTGGAGGTGAGGGGTGCAAAGCATCGCCCCTCCCTCCTAGTCAGGTCAAATCTAGCATTTGCTTTTCAGCCAAAGGTATGTGCTTTTAAAGCCAAGTACAGATAAATATGTTCTGCAAAGAGTTTCCTGATAAAAATCAACCTTGAGTGTGTGTGAAAGTTGTGGATGAGGCTGCGGTCTTGGAAGCATTCTCAGGTAGGCACTCCTGTGCCGATTTCTTCAGAGGCTGCCTTTTTCCCCAGCAGTAGCCCGTGTCTTGTGTTGATAAACATGGATGACCTGTGGGGATTGCCTGTAAAGCTTCCTGGTAGGATTGTAGAAATGTGGCAATATGTTGTTGCTTGAATAACGTGTCATATGATAGTTGTAGCATATGCTTCGTATTTGGCGCACAAAATATTAACTGTTCTGCCACATTGTGTTGATATTTGAGTGTTAATACTTAGAATGATCTTTAAAAGCTGACAGCCAAACACAGGCTTTACTATGAAGACATACATGTGGTATTTCCCCATGTGAAAGTTTTTGAGTCCCTAGTTGTTTCTGTGCTTAAACTAATGGCATAAACTTAACTCCCAGAAGAAATGAGGCAAGTACAGTACTAATGATCATAGCATAGCCATTATTTATTGTGTTTTTAATTAGCTATATACATTGACTAGGGGCATACCTAGAACACATGCTGGTCTTATTAGTATCATACAACAATTCTTCTATCTGGACACTAAAACTCAACTGGTTGCTTCAGGGAGATTCAAATTAAAAACATAACACTGTGTCTTCAGAGTTGGAAATTAGACATAGGCATGGATTTTGTGTCATTCAGAACAAATGTTCCTACCCACCGTAATAACATTAATACATGCGTAGTCATGGAGTCTTCAAGTGGCTGATTGTGCCAAGGGGTTTTGACTATTCCTATGTACTAGTTTGAAATTAAAAGCAAACTCCCAGAACTGTAGTCTTTTACATATACATGATTAAATAAGACCCATTGTTTGTTAGACTGAACATTAGATATGGAGTTCACACACGCCAATATTTGAAGGAAAATTGCTTCTCCCAGTGTATAGAGATTCTGTGGCTAGGAAGTGTTTGAGAACATTTTGTTTGATTGTCCACGGCCTCTTGCTGCACACAAATGCAGCCACCTGCTGCATCATTTGTGGTTCTAGCTTTGTTTCTTAATAGATGGAAACTCATATGCTTTCTAACCCATTTTTTAAAGTGTTTTCTGATTTTTTTTAAAAAGCTTTATGGGTGAGGGAGTCTTAAAATTCATAAATGGAGAATAGGCATATACTGTAACTTCTATCTGCAATAGCAAGTAAACGGTTTTCCCCCGTTGGAAATATGTGATTTGCATTAATTGTCTGTTACCATGGCACCTTCAATTCTGTTCAGTTCATTTTCTACCTATCCATTGTCCTGCTGAGTGTAGGAAAAGCTGTGGAAATAGAGATCCAACAATCCCATTAGAATGGCATACAGGAGAATGCCTGGGATGCTCACTGGAAGGTTGCAAGGGAGATCATTTTAGTTCTTCATTATCCTGTCCTTTCCTGTCCTCAGACTTCCTCCCCCTGAAATGTGATGCTTGTGAACAGCTATTCTGCACAGACCACGTTGCCTACGCCCATCACAGCTGCACTTCGGCTTACAAGAAGGTATGTAAGATGGGAGGGAACAGAATTTGAAGCTTTGGGTTCTTGGTGCCACATCAGATGCAGATATGCTCCCAGCATTCGTGAAACTGATATTGTCTTGTCCAAAGAGTACAGTGTGTCCGTCAGTGGAGAAGGCTGTTTGTCTTCAGCTCCAAAATTATTAGGTTAGAAGAGAGGCTACACCCGTACTGGTAATATAACAGGTGTTCAGTGTTAATGCAGGAGTTCTTGATCTTTGGCAATCACAGCTCTTATCTCAAATGATATTTGGCCCACGAGAATGGGTAGACTGTTCTTCGGTGGCCTGGAAAACAAGGGATCCAAAGGCTGAAATTCAGGAGAGATCATTTCTGTTTTGATGGCACAGATCCCTACTTTCCTGAGAGCTAAATGAGTTCTGGGGAGTAGCATTAGTTGCAGAGACAATTGGATTTCATAACTTGGGGGCATATGTCTGCTACTTGATGGTTGCTCTTAAATGTCTGTGGAAGAGCCAGGTAACTTTAGGTTTGAAAGCACTTGCCTCTGGACTTTTTTTCCAGCTACTTCTGGCAGTTTCAGGAGTGGCTGAATTATTTTCTGTTGCTACAGTACTTCCTGGTTCTATCCACTAGGCAGGGAACAGCTTGAAGGACCCAGTGGTTGTCTTGTTCTGGATGCTGCCTGAAAAGTGACTGAAATCATATTGCTGTAATTTTATGCCACACAACTAGGATAATGTCATCAGCCCGAAACAGTAATATTTGATTCAATTTAACTGAAAGCTTCCTGCTTTCCCCCTATTCAGGGAAGACTTGGGGAATCTTGGAATGTGAGAAGGGAAAGCCCTTAGAAGCCAAAAATCATTGCTGGATTGAGTGCAATGATGCCAATCTCAGTTTTTATTTTTTGACTATTAAAATGGTTAACATACACACCTCACCCCAAGGTTCAAAAGGGCTTCCCCAGGGCAAAAGGAAGCACTTGGGAGCCTCAGAATCTGAAAGGAGCGGATAGGAACCTTTAAATTAAATGAAGTACTACAATTTTGGGCTGATGCCATTCTAACTGCATAAAGTTGCACCAATAGAATTTCAGCCAATAATTCAAATACGATTTCCTTTCAGAGCAATGAATTCTAGTCTAGAACTAGTTTGAGATCATAGAAGCTCAGTTGTGTTTGTTTGGATACATTTTTGCGAAGAAGTTTAGGTTTAACATTCCAGGTTATGCCTTCATTCAATAATAATAAATTCAGTCCATTTCAGTTCATACCCAATAAAACTCTTTTACCTGTTAACAGCAGAAAGAAAAGCTAATTTTCGAAATCCAGTATAACATGTACTTTTTTTGTCCTGGTTCTAATCAGTAATGCCAACTAATGCATAAGTAGACCATGGGGAAAGGTGAGGACAGGGATGAAAGCAATAATTTGGAAATTGGGCCTGTTGCCATTTTAGATAGAGAAAACTGGTTCCAGTAGCTGGCTTGGATTCTTAATGTTTCCATTGAATCAAGTAGATTATCAAATATTAAATGATCCACGGTAATCAACACCTTATGAAGGAAACCTGCTCCTGATTTTGAGTTTTCAGGTGGGAGATGGCGATAAGATAATGTAAACCATATTTTAAAACGCTGTCTTCTTCCTCAGCTCCTGGAAAATTTAATTTTGATGCCCTCTCTCCTTTGAGAGAGCTCTCTTTGTCCTTCCCAGATGATCCTAGGACTAGTGTCCTGTGATGTGGGAAAAGACAGAGGGTTCAGTGGGGTACTGTTGGTGAAGTAAAAGAAGAGCCAAGTTGTATTTGGCCTGCTCAACTTAAAATAATCTGTATGCCCTGAGAACTACGCTATACCCTATGTTAAATTCAAAGGTAACAACAGAGCCTCAGCCTCTTTTTTGTACTCCAGAGTAAGCACATGTGGGCTAATCCAGATTGTAACCACATTATGCATATAGAGGAGATAAATCACCCCATACAGCTATTTTCCCCCTTCCACATGGGATCTAGAAGCGGGGAGCAAGGGATCCACTGATGCAAATGGACCAATAGATTTCCATTTTCCCTTATTGGCCCCAACACCAGGTGAGATGGAATTCAAAGGCAAAAATGGCTGGTAGGGAAATTTAATTCCCCATTACCCTTGCTGGATCACAATCTCGATTGGGCCTGTATTCACTTGCTTTGGGATAAGAAAGGAAATGAAGTTCAGTGACATGCTGTAAAATTAAGGTAGCATGTTCTCTAGCCCTGTTAATATAAATGTAAAGGACCACAGTACAGAGCAGGCCTTCCTATGAAGGAATGGTTGACCCTTGCACTTTTCATTTGTGTATCAGTTCCGTACAAGACTGGGTTCAGATTCCCCACTCAGCCATAAAACTCATGAACTGACTTTAGGTCAAAATCTCTGTGCCTGACTTGCCTCAGAGAGTTAATATGAGGATAAAGTGCAGGAGAGAAGTACTGTATGCACTGCCTCAAGCTCCTTGGAGGGTAGCTGGAAAGTAACAAATATATAAGATTCAGGGAGAATTCATGGCTGTGACTGGCTGGAGCCTTGAACAGCAGGAGATCTGGTAGGACAGGAGTGCATCACTCTCAGTTGTTGATTTGTGCAGCCCTGATCCATTTTCAGTCTTTCCAGCTGGCTGAAGTTGAAGAATACATAGTGAAGTTGAACACTGTTCTGGATAGCTACAGGCATCATCTTCTAGACCAGGGGTCTCCAAAGTATTTTTACCCCGCCTGTCTGTGCAGGTGGGCAGGAGTGTGTGCAGGCGTGTGCACATGCACGTGTCCCTTTGGCCCTCGAAAATATCGCAAATATATTATGTGGCCCTCCATGTGAAAAGTTTGGAGACTCTTGTTCTAGACCATGGTGTCAAGGAAGAATTTCTTGTGTGTGTAGCAGTTTCTCCCAGCCCTACTGATCTTGCGTGTGGACTAATGTTTTCCTGTTGCCAGGAGCAGCAGAGAAACAGCAATATCAGTGGAAGTCAGTGAGGGATTGAAAGCCTAAACTATTGTGCCTGAGCTGTGTCCCTAAGGCTCAGTGTCTTGAAATGTGGTCACTGGCAGAGGGTGATGGTTGTGGTGGGCACATGCTAAAATATGGAAGGGAAGAAGACCTTGTCTGTACGTACACAAGGTGAGTTTGCTGAAGGTGGGGAAAAGAGTATGGTTCCTAGGCCTTTCGTGAACATGGGATGAGACTCTTACACCCTAAAGTATTAAGTGATACATTATGAAATATATTAGGTGGTACATTGCAATGTTTTGTTACAGGCGATGTTCTGTACTTAGTGGGTCAAGGGAACAGACATCGTGGAGCATCTCACCCTCTCTTTTGTATCTAGGATGTGCAGGTCCCTGTGTGCCCTCTCTGCAGCACCCCCATCCCTGTGAAACGAGGAGAGATGCCGGATATTGTTGTGGGAGCACACATTGACCAGGACTGCAAATCAGACCCTGCTCAACGTAAGCGGAAGGTAGGACGTTACGCTTACCCTCTCTGCTGCTTTTGGTGGAAATAGTGCTTTGAGCCTGCCACTCAGGTGGATATGTCTTAAGTCTGAATCCCATGCCAGCATCACCTTTCTCATGTTGACTGAGGACAGTATGATAGTGACTTAACTCCACAGGGACCTGGAATCTGCACCATAAGCAAGAGAAGGAAAAGGGCTTCAAATTTTGGCTCTTTTTAGTTTGTTCCACTGCTGATAAACAGAAAGAACCAGAGTTTGGGGCGAGGGAGGGAGAGCGGATAAGTTATTTGCAATGAACAATGATAAAAACATACACATTTGGTAAGAAGGTAGGACAGTAGGATGTTTATAGACAAACATATATACACAGTGCTTGGCTGAAAGGAGGAATATAAAACTATAAATATAGACAAACAATATGAAATTAATTTAAGTGCTTGTACCATATAGGACAACTATAATAATCATGGTAATGTAAACAAAAGTGGAGCACTAAAGTAGTAAACAAACTGTTATATGTAGCACAGATAAAGTATGTTCAATTAAAACTTCCACCAGTCTGAACTAGATAAAGCTTGCTAAATTCCAAGCTGTATGGTAGTGTAACTTAAAGAGGAAGGATTATATCTGTTCCAAGCAGAAGAGACAAGCTCATATGGGCTTTAATGAAAGTCCCATGGTCTAGGAAGAAGGATTCAGTGAAATCCTGGTAGGAAACGAAGACAAGAGGTGAGGCGTGAGTTTCAAAAGGAGAGACGAGAAAGAAAGGGAGAAACCTGTGAAATGTACTGTTTTTTCCAAAACAATCCACTAGCTCAAAAGCTATTTTCATGTAAGAATCACAGTGAAAGCTCAATAAAAAAATTCTTAAAAGGAGCAACAAAGATCAGTCGGAGGAATGCAAAAAGTGTGTGCAAAACTTAGCACAGTATACCTAAACCTTTGTAAGATTATTGTAAGCAAGAGCAGTTAAATCTAAAATCAAAAGTCCCTTCTCTTTGATCCAGAAAGGAATAGTACATGTAGCACAAGACATCATTGGGGGAAAAAATCATTTGTGTGATGTAGATGAATAAAAGTCAAATGGAGTTGAGCAAAAGTACTGACACTTTTTTATTTTTCTCATTTGCTCAAAGCTTTGTTCCTTCTCCATACTGGTCTGTTCACTTGGTCTAGGCCTTACTTCAGGAGTTTTTCTGTTCTTGCACTCCTTTCAGAGATCCAGGCTCTAAACATTTTGCCAAACCACAGGTTTCTTCCTTCCCATACTTCCATGTGCTTTCCCCGTTGCCTCTGCATCCCTAAAATAGAACCTGAGAGACAGGAAAAGCCATAGAACATGTTTTGCCTGAAGAAGATTTCTCAGCAGCTCAGGATAGGTTGGAGAAAGACTCTTGTCTGAGCTCTGGAAAAATGCTTACACTTACTGTAGAAAATGCAGACATAGAGGGTCTGCCTCGTTCTTACGCAATGTGATCCAGGTGAATATAGTTCCCTTCAAAAGCTGTACTGCAGGCAGCCCGCAGCTCAGGATGTGTATGGAAATCTGGATTTGGATGTAGGGCACTTGAACGGTTAGAATAACAGAGGAGTGCATGTCAGAACTGAACAAGATCTGCTAACTATGGTCGCTGAGCAATATCAAGACCAGCCAGGTTTGCAGAGCAGGCTTAAGAATATTAAGCAGGGGGCCACTTTTTAGAGGTTTATAGTTTGGAGGCTTGATTACTTAAGCTCTGAGGTTTGTGTAGATTTGAAGGCAGGCAACCCTAGTGGGTCTCCTCCTTGCTAACAGACCATTCCACTGTCCTCAGTCCCAGCTGCATTCATCTCTCCTAGATCTTCACTAACAAGTGTCAACGGCCTGGCTGCAAGCAACGGGAGATGATGAAGGTTCTCTGTGACCAGTGCCATGGCAACTTCTGCCTCAAGCACCGACACCCACTGGATCATGATTGCAAGGGAACTGGGCATTCGCTGTCCAAGGCTGGGTAAGGGCATACCTGGGAGCTGTTGTGGGCAAAAGTGTGCAGGAGACAGACATGGACAGATGAGGGAGATATAGTCTTATTTTCCTCCCCTTTGTTAGTATTTCAAGCATATCTGGGGTTGCTTTGGGGTGCCTTACAGCAGCGTTTTGGAGCCAAGATTCACATTGTCAAAGTCTTGCTGATTTGAAAAGACTATAACACCATCTGTCACTTTCTTCATGCTGTCCTGTTCCCTTTGGGGTTAGCTGCAATGCCCATAACAGCTGGGAAAGAATTGGGTTTTTCTAGGAACAGTACATTGTTGCCAGCAATCCCTGTTGTAATACAGTGTATTTGAGGGTGATTTGTTCTTGGATGGGCATATAAGTACCATTCACATTACATAAGACTTGCACCGGATGGAAACAAAGATATGTAGAACTCATATGGATTGATCCCACTGCTTGTAGCTCTTGATCTCCTTGATGGGGGAGCAGCTATGGGGAGGGCCATGACAAGAACTTGCACTTCCAGATTTACGACTCCACCACTGGCGCCTCCTTCTTCCACTATTGTCAATAAGATGTCTGTTATTTGTGCTGTCTCAGCTGGCTGCATTTACAGATCAGTTACTTGAGCCTGAAGGACATAGAAGTTGCACAGGCTTTTGCTACAGGTAGATTTGGTTGTGCCAGCAAAATATAATGTTGAAGCTGACTCTTGTTCGTCTCAGGGGGAGAAGGTGGTGGCTTGGGACACCGTCACAACGATGCTGTTTCTGAGAACTAAGCTTCCTCTTTCAGGAATGCTGCAATTGCCAGAGCTCAGAAGTCTGCCAAAGCACCTGCAAGCACAACATCCAGCAGTGGAGCCGTGAAATCTCTCGCAAACTTGCCAACCTCCAGCAGGTACATCGGTGACCCCCAATCTGCATTTTCCCCTGTTCTGCTTCTTTTCCTAGGAGTTGTAGCCTTCAAAAATATTACAACAGCTGTGGGCACTTCCATCCTCCTCCTATTTCTGGCTGCAGTCCCCTCTAAGTTTCAGACAGCATTCCTGATCACTACCAGAGTGCTGGGTGACAACAGAGAAGTGGGCCTGATGCCATTCTGCTACAGACAAAGTTGTGCAACAATCACTGCTTGCCTCTCTGTCTGCTGCAATTTTTTCCCTATGTAAAGAAAGGCAAGGAGGGCTGCTCTCTGCTGTATGGAAGGAGGGCAGTCCATCTCGCCCTTAGAGGCTGCCTTGCTCTAGCACTGGCGGTGGAAATCTACTCTTCCCTCTGGTAAAAGTGACCTGTGCTTGGGAAGGAACTTATGTGCAGTGGGCTAACTGTTTTGTGCCATAAATCATATCCTAGTGCAATGGTGGCCAAAATATAGCTGTCCAGATTTTGTTGAACTCCAGTGCAAAGCAGCAAAGCCAATAGTGATAAATGCTGGAGCTTGCAATTTAACATCTGAAGGATCACACACTTGTCCACCTTTACTCTGATTCTGCCAGTGCCTTTCTCTCTAATTTATATGCACCTCATGAATTGTTACAACTCTTCCTGTTGTCTTCCACATAGGGCTACTGAAATGGCTGGAATACCTCAGCCCCAAAGCACACCTCCCCCAGCTGTTGCCCTGCAGAATGGACTGGTAAGTGCTGGCCAACAAGCTTGATACTGAAGCCATTATAAGTCAGTTATTCCTTTTTGTATTATTTATATGTGTCAGTATCATGCTAATAGCTGCAAAATGGAGCTGCTCTGTTGTTAGATCTCAACGTATGAGGGGCATAATATACTAGGTCTGCAGTAGGGGCACAGAAGGAAAGGATATGGCCAAAGGGCTAGATTGCCTCTAGGGGCACCTTGAGGAGCTGGATGATATCCAAGGGTGGTGCCTTCCTTCTTACCACATGCTTTATTATTACAGTGTCACCTCTGTAAATCAGATGTCACCCATGAGCCATTCCATCAAGCTGTACAAGAAAGAGATGTAAGAAGCAGAGCAGTTCCCTTAGCTTGCTTGAGAGGCCACCCATTTCTGAGCCACGTCCACTTCAAACAAACAAACAAAAACACAACCTAAGTTAGAGCGGTTTAGTTAGATGGTTAATATGTTGAACTTGAATCTGGGAGACTTAGGCTCAGATTCCCACTCAGCTGTGAAATTCACTGTCCTCAGTTAGATACAATCTCTTCGCCTGATCTAGCCCACAGGGTTCTTTTGAGGGTAAGGTGGAGGAGGGAAAGCCATGTCTGGTGCCTGGAGTTCATTAGAAGAAGGGTAAAATATAAATGTAATAAATAAACAAACTCTGTTTTTTTATTCTTTTCAATGGGGGTAGGATTATGGGGAAGGGAGTTTAGGATTAGGGTTAAACTCTTAAAACTGAGCTAGCCTAGTGAGTTATCTAGGGTGGTTTGATGCAGCAATGGCAGTATGTTTTATTTTGTCCTTTTTTTCTAGGGTGGTTTGATGCAGCCATGGCAGTATGTTTTATTTTGTCCTTTTTTTGTCTTTGCAAATTCAGTGGTGTGCAAATCTAGTTTTACACAAAGTGGATAATTTATTGTGGGCAGCAAATGAAGCAGAAACCAAACTTGTCCCATGTGGTTCGAATATGCCTTGCTGGGCTGTTGTTGATATAAGGAATGGTGGCTGTTGGCCTCTGCATGTGAGCTACACCTTGTTTTGTCTCTCATTTCAGAGTGAAGAGGAAGCACTGCAACGAGCCTTGGAGATGTCCTTGGCAGAGGTGGCGACTACCCAACCACAGCCCCACAGGTACAGCACAAGGGCAGCCCTTTTGGGGTGAGCATTCAAACATACAGTGCTGCATATCAGGTCTAAACGATGATGTGGTCAAATTCTCGAGGTCTGTGCTAATATGCTACCCATGGTTCTGTTCCCTGTCTTGCAAGTCACACGACAGAATGTTTGGGAGGAGGTAGGTTGTCTACCATGTCCATTTCATTTGTTCCTTTTATCTGTAACAGCACCCAGGAGGAGGAGGATCTGGCATTGGCCCGGGCCCTTTCCGCTAGTGAAGAGGAATATCGCCAGCAGCAGCAGCAGCAGCAACAACGAGTGTTGAGGCTGAGGCATTCCCACAACTAACTTTCCAGTTGTTCCGTTCATATCCTTGAGGGGACTGGCAAAAGGTGTCTTGGGAGTAAGCACAGAAGCATAGAGTTGGAAGGGGCCTATAAAGCCATTGAGTCCAACTCCTTATTCGGTGCAGGAATCCTGCCGTTAGAAACTTTTCTCTGATATTCAGCTGAAATCTCGGTTTCTGTAACTTGAGACACTATTGTGTGTTCTGCACTCTGGAATGATTAAGAACAAATCCTCTCTCTCTGTATGATAATTCTTCAAGTATTTGAAGAGTGCTATCATCTCCCCTCAGCCTTCTTTTCTCAAGGCTGAACATGCTGAGTTCTTTCAGTTTCTCTGCATAGCGCCTGGTTTCCCTCCCCCGATCATCCTTGTTGCCCTCTTCTGAACCTTTCAGTTTGTAGTTATTCTTCTTGAAAGTGTGGGGTCCAGAACTGGACACAATACTCAAGATAAAGCCTAACAAATGCCAATTAATGGGGAACTAATACCTTTCATGATTTGGACACTATGCTTCCTTAATGGCACCTAAAAGAGCATTTGCCTTTTTTTCAGCGGTGTCACCTTGTTAACTCATATTCACCTTGAGGTCTACAGCAATTCCAAGATCCTTCCCTCATGCATTATTGAACACAGTATCTCCCGTCTTGTAATTGTTCATTTGGTTTCTTCTTCCTAGATGTAGAACTTGACACTTATCCTTGTTAAATTCCATTCTGTTGTCTTCAGCTCAGTGGTCAAGACTATCGAAATCTTTCTGTTTTTGTCTTCCAGGATGTTAACTATCCCAACCATTTTTGTGTCATCTGCAAATTTAATAAATATTCCCTCCTCATCCATGTTATTAACAGAAATGTTGAAGAGCACTAGGCCCAGGATTGAGCTTCGTGGGAGCCCGCTTGTTATCTCCTTCCAGTTTGAGAAGTAGTTGTTGACAAGCACATACCGAGTATGAGTCTTTAACTACCTGATAGTTGTTCCACCCAGCCCATACCAGGAGGCTACCCAACCAAAAAAATGAGATTAGATTAGTCTGGTAGGATTTCTTCTTAACAGATCCATGTTTGCTGCTTGTTATCACTGCATTGTTTTCAAGGTGCTTATAGGATAGGAGGTTTAGAAGGTGCTCCCACAGTACTGATGTTAGACTGACTGGGTCCTGGTGCTGCTCTCTTTTTTTTTTGCCATTTTTGAAGACTGTGAAAACATTAGCCATCCTCTAATCATCTGGCGTTTCACCCATCCTCTTTTATTTTTAGAAAGAGATAATAGTTCTGAGACTTCTTCAGCCATTTCCTCTAATACTGTTGCATGCTGTTCCTCAGGTCCTGGAGGTTTGAACTTGTTCAAAGTGATGAGGTATTCCTTAACTATTTGCCCGTCAATCTCAAAGCTGCTTCTCCCTTCACTTGTGCTTCATGTTTGCCAGAAGGATTATATACTTTCTTAGGGGGAAACCGAGTGAAAATAGGAATTGAGCACTTCTGCCTTTTCTTTGTCATTGGTTATTTTGCCATCCCCCTGAGCAGCTAAACCATTGTTTCGTTTCTCTGCTTTTTGCTACACCCGTACCTAAAGAATGGTTGCTTTTAGCATGTCTTTCTAATTTCATCTTTTTCTCATCCCAGCAATTCTTTGCTCCCTATCTGTACTTTAGCTTTGTGGCCTGGCCTTCCTTCTACTGCCTAGATGTGTAATTTTTATTTTCAGATCCTCTCAGACCATTTTTTGAAGTCACACTGTTTTATATTTTTTTGTCCTCCACCTTTTGTTGATGTTGTTGTTGGAATTGTTTGTAGATGTGCCTTTAGAATTTTCTTTTATAGAAGCTCCCACCCATCTTGGACTTCCTTTCTTGTTAGAATCTTCTGCTATGGGGCCTTATTTGCCATTTGTTCTGAGTTTATTAAAGTCAGGTTTCCTAAAATCCAGTGTACACATGCCACAATTCTTTGTGTCTGTACTTTAGCTTTGTGGCCTGGCCTTACTTCTACTTCCTAGATGTGTAATTTTTATTTTCAGATTCTCTCAGAGTGTTTTTTGAAGCCACACTGCTCTATATTTTTTTGAACTCCACCTTTTGTTGTTGTCGTTGGAATTGTTTGTAGATGTGCCTTTAGAGATGTGTAATTTTTATTTTCAGATCCTCTCAGACCATTTTTTGAAGTCACACTGTTTTATATTTTTTTGTCCTCCACCTTTTGTTGATGTTGTTGTTGGAATTGTTTGTAGATGTGCCTTTAGAATTTTCTTTTATAGAAGCTCCCACCCATCTTGGACTTCCTTTCTTGTTAGAATCTTCTGCTATGGGGCCTTATTTGCCATTTGTTCTGAGTTTATTAAAGTCAGGTTTCCTAAAATCCAGTGTACACATGCCAGCTGCACAGGTTCTTTCTGCATTTTCTCCTTGATTAGTCAGTCCGTGGTAGACTCCAACTAGCACATTTCTTTCATTTTTCACCCTAGTTATTTTAATCCAGATACTCTCCAAGTGACAACTTAGCTCATCAAATTGTATTTCTTTGCAGGAATATGTATTTTGACATACTGTGACTCCACCTGCTTTCTGTTCCTTCTGTTCTTTTTGAACAATGCCTTCCAGTTCAATTTAAAGCCCTCATGAAGTAGTTCTTCACACTTTTCAGCAGTCCATCTTCCAGGAAGTGTAGCCTGGGGTCCCAAAATCCAAATATCTCATGTAAACGCCATCTTAATAGCCCATTGCTCACCTGGAGGTGTTTTTTTTTTCCCTTTTCCTTTTCTCCTCCTCTTCTAAGTGTCAGTAGGATGGATGAGAAGGCCATCTGGACTCCAAAGTCCTTGAGTTTTCTTCCCAGAGTTTTAAAGTCTGAGGTGATTTCTTCATTGTTCTGTCAGGTTGCACCATCTGTTCCCACATGGATGAGAAGAAAGTGATATGTATCAGGGGTGCACATAGAGGAGATGCTTAGTCATTGCTTAATGAAGTTTAAATTTAGTCTTAAACCATCTGTCACATTCACAAGATGACAAAATGATGAAACTTATTCTTTAGGAAGGGACTGTAATCTTCTCAAGCTACTTCAAGTACAGAACTGGGGTGGGAGGGAGTAGTCGTAGAGCGGTGATTGTTGCAGGCGAAGATGTGAGCCTTGTGTGCAAAATGGAGGATTCTTTTAACCCATTTTGTCAATAAATGGGCAGCCCTGTATTGCCGGGGGTGGGGGGAGAAATGCATTTCCTTTCCTAGTGTTCTTACTTTCCCCATATTTGTGTTTTAGGCTCGAAGCGCAAAACCGTCCAATTGCTGCCTCTCCTGAGGGCAAAAAGAATCAGCCAGCTTGGGAACTGTGCTTGGCCACAACGGTTCTTCCTCTGCTCTTGCTGAGGGTCCCTTCCTCTGCTGCTCCCTCAGCGCTGCTGACAATGAACCAAAGGCTGAATACCTCTCTGTTCCTCGTAGAGTCTCTCCTTGCCACACAGTTCTTGTTCCTCTACACTGTGACCCTATAAAACCTTCTCTGGGGCAGCTGGCAACCTTTCTCCCACTCAAGTGGAGCAGCAGAAGCCATCCTCAGTCACTTCAGCAGAACTATGGCTAGCCGAGGTCGTAGAAGAGGAAATGGACTAGCAGGCAGTACTGGCAAGGATGGAACTAAATCTCATCCTGCTACAGTGGGGTGGCTGGGGAGGGGGCGACGGAGTCCCAAAGCTGAGGGGAGTTTAAGGCAAATGAACTAAGTGCCTGCCTCTTATTTCTCTGTCTGAGGAATCCCCCGGTTTGTCAGCAGGTGGTGCTCAATGCTTTCAGTGTGAGGGTTTTCTTACCAGATTTGTGTATGTTTTTTGGGTGCTGCTGAGGCTTCTTCTAGCTACCCGCTTAAGTGGGAGGCATGTCTTCCTGAAACAACAGTTGTACAGCTTTTCTGTCAAATGCTGACTTAACAGTTGCTGCTTTAGTAACAGCAACACTTGGATCACGCAATGGCGGCAGCCCTCCACAGAGAATAGATTCATGGCAGTGTCACATCTGTCTCTGGAGCATGATCCATATAATCCTTTCTCTGCTGAGGACTGATGGCCAAATCTTCTATGCTCATACGTTTTGAATAACACTGATTCTGCTTGCTCCTTGCCAGAACACGAGCCCTTAGCCCTCTTTGGGAGAGTCTGCCAAAGAGCAGCCTTGAATTGAAGTGACCAGCAGGCACGTTACTGCCCTATAATTACAGTGGTGCCCTGCATGACGACGATAATCCGTTCCATAGAAATCACTGTTTAGCGAAGACATCTTGCAAAAACCATTTCCCCATCGGAATGCATTGAAACCTATTTAATGCGTTCCAATGGAGAAAAATCGTCATCCTGCAAAGATCGCTCATAGGGAAGCCATTTTGCAAACCACTGATCAGTTGTTGAAATGGCTGCCCTGTGAAGCATCGGTCCTGAAAACACCCATTTTGTGAAGCGCCGATCAGTTAAAATCATCGTCTTGCGAAAATCGGTTTGCGAAGCAGGGACCCAAAGATTGTCCAGCGAAAATTGCCCATTGAAATCACTGTTTTGCAAATCGCTATAGCAATCACAAAACCTCATCGCCGTGCGGATTCGTCGTTTTGCAAGGTCGTCTAGCGAGGTACCACTGTATAAGGAGTGTTTCCCATTTCCAGGAGACAGCCAGAGGCTTTAGATTGCATGTTACAAAGCTGACTGGCCCCAGGTGGCACCCATACCTCAGTGACCATATGGATGTCTTGTCTTCTGTCTGATGCATGCGTTGGGCAGGTGCTTGTCTTTGACCAGGCATAGTTTTCATGGCCTTGGGCTTCCAGGCTTTATGCTCTGCACAATTATTGGCTTTCCCTCTGCAGGGGCCACTTTACCATGAAGCATTCTGTGCCTTTGCTGTGTTACCTACAGGGTCGGAGGGAAGCTGTGATGACAGGGCATTGCAGGAAAGCTAATGGGAGTCAATAAACTCACTGACAGAAATGGCTTGAGGTTTTTTCCCCCTCTCTTTGGAGCATATATACTCATAATCTATCCTGAAGCATGTGGATTGCAAGGAGTTGTTTGGAATTGGTTGAAGAAATAGCTCAGCACTTTTGAATTTTTTTTTAAACTCTGCACTAAGAACTGCAGTATACTACTGAGAAACAGTGTGTTTGAGTAGGAAGCCGAGGGCAGACTGATCTAATACAAATAAATTTAGATTACGATTTAGGCTCCAAGAAGGCTGACTTTTTTAAAAAATCAAGTTTTCCATTCTGAAATGCACATATTGCTTGAACAATCATGCACATGAATCACCTGCTGTTGAGAAGAAAACATATTGGGTGAAATCCTGTTGCATAACTTTGTGCCCAGTACTGTACAACCTGGATTGAGTGCTGGAAGCATTAAATATACATTCATTGAAAGCTTCATATTCCCCCCCCCCAAAAAAAATAGGTTCCAAGGCTCCCTTGGACTCCCTTTTGCCCGAGGAAAGCCTTTGGGAGCCCTGTAAAATGGGGGGGTGGTGAGCTTTAAATGTCAAAAATCACTGCTGTATTGCCACTCCTGGGATCAGGACCACCACTCTTGATCCAGTGGTGATTTTTGTCTTTTAAAGGCTTCCCACTCCCTCCATGTACCCAGGCTCCTAAAGGAAAAGGGAGTCTGAGGGAACTTAAAACCAGGTGAGAAGTGAAGTCACATTGTACCTAAACAGCCAACTCAATAGGTGGTCTCAAGGCAAGCAGTCCTCTCTCGTGCCCAACCTTGCATCTACGCTATAGGTGTAGTGTCACCTTGTTGTATAGGACCATTGTTGACAACAGATAAAGCATTTTCAGTGTTTCAAATATAAAATATACAGTGGTGCCTCGCTTAACGATGTTAATTGGTTCCCAAAAAAACATTGCTATGGGAAAACATCGCTACACGAAACACCATTTCCCATAGGAATGCATTGAAAGCCGGTTAATCCGTTCCAATGGGAACGGATTACCGTCCTTAAGCGAAAATCGCCATAGGAAACATTGCTAAGCGAAACAATGTTTCCCCCATTGGAATACATTGAAGCCTATTCAATGCATTCCAATGGTTTTGCGATGTCTGTTTTCACTATTTTTAAAGTGTCTTAAAATGTTCAAAAACTGTTTTAAATGCTTGGGATCGTTAGTGCACCTTGTAAAACCTTTGCAAACTTAATTTGGCTTTGTTCTGACTCTTCGTTAATTTTTGGCGAATGTTTCCCCCCCATTGAAATGCATTGAACTGTCGGTTTGACAGCTGTCAAACCAACAGTTCAGTGCATTCCAATGGGGGGGCGGAATTCACCAAAAATTAATGAAGAGTCAGAACAAAGCCAAATTAAGTTTGCAAAGGTTTTCCAAGGTGCACTAACAACTGTGGTCACAATCAAAGCAGGGAAGATAAATTGTGCCAAATTTGGGGCAATTGGTGATTTGTTTTTAAATATATGCCCCCTAAATATATCAATTGCCCTTCTACCAAGGAACACAAGTTGACACATGTGGCCCTTCTTTCTAGATTAGATCACACTTCAAGGGCAATGCCTGTTTCCTTCTGTTTGAGATTTTGCCCCAGCAGTGCTAATGCCTGAGCAACAAGACATACTTATCTCTCCGGGTTCCTGTTAGTCTTCTCTTAAGAGAGTTCCATTTCTAATGACATGTCAACTGTGTTCTCTATTTATTACTATTTAAAATATTTCTATCCCACGTTTCTCCTCAAAAGACCCAAGGCGGCTTCATCCATGGACTATTTCAGAAGTTCCTGTTACAAGAAGTTGTCCTTTCGTGGTAGCCATTGTGTGCTGTCAAGTCAATTCCAATTTACAATGACCTTTCTCAGAAAGTACCCAGAAGTGACTTACCAGTGCTGCCTTCTGGTGGTGATGTGGACTTGTGCAGTTTGCCTAAGACCATACAGGCTGTGCAAGGTACAGTGGCAAATCCAACTCCTGACCCCTGGCTCCACAGCCAGGCATCTGATCATTGAGCTAGCCAGCAAGTGGAGCAAGCACACTCTTTTTCAATAGGAGGGTGCTACTGGGCTCTTTGTGGCTTGCTTCTGAAAGTAGAATGCTGCTCCAGATAGGGTCCAGTTGTTACTTGTCACATCCCCCCTCCTGCAAAGTAGTTTGAGTCAAGCAATAGTTATATCAGCAAGCAGTGGGAGCCAAACCTTGGTTAGTGTACCTTAGTCTGGCTCTTTTAAATCCAGGGTCTCTCTGGTTGTTTTCCTGTCTAGCATTCCCAGCCTGAGGGCTGGTAGGAGCAGCACTCAAAGAACAACTGGAATCCTGCACATTGCACAGACCTGCCCTCAATGCTGTGCCATTACCTGCAAGGACATACGAGTGACTGTCATCCAGTGTGGGATATGCAGGATTCTGGGAAATGGCTGAAATTCAGGTTTTGTCTCCGATGGTCAAGGTGTGCAGAGTGTACCTGAACTGCCCTTTACGAGAAGTTGGTATGTGTACCAGCTGAAACTATAACGATGTCAAAGGTTTCGGGGTCATAAACTGGTTTTTCAAGTCAGTAGTGAACATGTTCTCAGTCATTCCATCTCATTGACAAGTAGGAAGCAGATAACCTTGTGAACATGGGCAGATCTTGTGGATCATACTGTTATCAAGGTGAGAACAAAAACCAAATGCTTTATTCAAAGTGTCTTGCATTCCTGTAATTAGGGGAGTACAAAATAAACACTGGTTGCTGGAACACGCGTATATGAGGATATGTTATTTATCATAATCTCAAAAGTGTTATCCATCACTAATCCCTGGTTCAACAGGGAGAACAATCAAGCAATTAACAGCATCTTTAGCTGTGAAAAGGCAAACACTTCTATGTGCCTTGGTGGGTGCGGTGGCGCTGCAGGTTAAACCGCAGAAGCCTCTGTGCTGCAAGGTCAGAAGACCAGCCATCGCAAGATTGAATCCACATGATGGAGTGAGCTCCCATCACTTGTTCGAGCTCCTGCCAACCTAGCAGTTCGAAAGCATGTAAAAAGTTGAGTAGAGAAATACGTACCACCTCGGTGGGAAGGTAATGGTGTTCTGTGTCTACTCGCACTGGCCACGTGACCACAGAAACTGTCTTTGGACAAACGCTGGCTGTACAGCTTGGAAATGGGGATGAGCACCGTCCCCTAGAGTAGGACACGACTGGACTAAATGTCAAGGGGAACCTTTACCTTACCTCTATGTGCCTTAATTAGATGTTAGAAGTAAGGAATGCTGGTAGACAAATCTAACATGCTTTCGTGGTCTACTTTCAGCCCACTCCACATTTGAGGCTAACTCATCTTTTGTATAGGAAAGTCGTTTGTTTTATTTCTGTGCCATCTTTCTCCCAATAAAGGGACCCAAGGCAGTTCACAATATTAAAAGGAATAGAGTTAAAAACCTAATGAGATAAACATTAAAAAAACAAACTATATGCTAATGAAAATACAAATTAATAATTAAAAGCAAGTAAATATTAAAAATTATCTTAACTCTTAAAAAGGCACTCGGGGATTTGATCATAATTGTTAAAAATCATTCATCACCTTCACCATCAGCCAATTAGTTTTGAGCGTACTTTGGTGCACTCTCTAGCTAAGAGTGAAATCAAATCCTGAGACCTCACCTTGTAACTGGTGTAAGGCAAAAAGTTAGCAGTGCTGTGTATCCAACTCAGGCTGCAATTCCCTCTAGTTCCACCCTCCACAGTTTTAAAAGTGCAAGCTTAACTACAGTATATGCATTCCCATCAACACACACACTGAGCTTCCCAAATGGCCAAGCTGATGTGGACTTGGGCAAACTGGCCCAGAAACCTAGGAGGCACAAAACCCCTGAATACCAGTTAAAGGGCTGGGGCTATCTCAGCCTATTATGTTCCTCTCAAGTGTGGGGGCTTTTTCAGAGAAGTCAGGTGCCACAGAGGGGCAGGAGGAGCTGACATAGCACTCCTTACAATGTGGCAAGATTTTAACATAAAATCTAGTACTGTACTGTGCTAAGAGATCAGCCTGCCTGAGTTTGTAGAGGGTCACCTGTGGGACCTTGGTCATTGCCCCCAATCCCCAAGCTCCATCACGGAAAGGGACGGGTAGACCACGTCTGAATACTTCACATCAAGAACGTGCAGGCAACGTTGCCCTGTATTCATGAAGCCTTTCACCGCCGGGATCTAATGGTTGTTGTGGGTTTTTCGGGCTCTTTGGCCGTGTTTTGAAGGTTGTTCTTCCTAACGTTTCGCCAGTCTCTGTGGCCATGGGCATCTTCAGCTGGACAGAGTTCCTACTCCAGTCCTCTGAAGATGTCGGCCACAGAGACTGGCGAAACGTCAAGAAGAACAACCTTCAGAACACGGCCAAGAAGCCCGAAAAACCCACAACAACCAAGGTTGCCCTGTCGGGATCCTGACACAACATAATATACTGTATGGTATATTGGTTGCTCTTCAGTAGCTTAGTGAAAACGAGTCAGTCCCACGCACTTGCTTTTTAATCAAATGCAGGCGTGCCTTTGCCCCGCCTAATCTAATCAGGTCTTGCGATCTTTTAAAACCCCCAAGTCCTGCTGGAGAACTAGCGCCTTGATCAGAATTAAGTGCAAGGAGCGGCGGGGTCCTGCCGTCGTCGGGTGTGAGATTAAATGTAAGGCGTTCTGGTAAGAGAAGGGAGGGATCACCGGCTCGAGGGCAGGATCAACCAGCGCAACAGCCCTCCTGCTTTGGAAAATGAAGCACCGCATTGGCAGCCGGCAGCCAGCGGCGCAGGGCAGGGCTCCGTCCCGGCAGCCGGCTTCTCCCCCTGGCCAGTCTCCCCACCGCAATACTGTACTGGTCGGGCCGCCAGCGAGCGTGTTCTGCTCGGCCAAGGGCGGCGCCCTCTCGGTTTTCCCCGTCAGCAGTTTACGCTCCGCATCCCTGGGAGCAGTCTGCGCTTCTCGCCTGGATTTCGCCCCCATCCCGCTGCGGACTTAAGACAGGCCTCGCCCGGGTCCCCATCACGCTCGTCTTCCTTCGTGGAAGACGCCGTTGTTGCCTCCACAACCTCAGGCCCGTCTTAGCCGGAGGGATCCCGGGCCGCGTGCCTTCGCTCTGGGGAAACTGGTGGCGGGGACTCTTCAAGTTTCTCATAAACCTACAGAAAAGCTGCCCGAGATCAGATCACGGGTCTTCCTGTCCCAGCTCAATATTGTTTCATGGCAAAGAGGCATTCGGGCACAGAGGTCTTAGGCGAGATGGAGACGCCCGTGCGCAAAGGTCCTTTCCCCTAAATATTGGTTCTACGGCATTTTTATCCAAGGCGACCAACCAGATGGGTTATTTGGACGAGGGTTTAATAGTTGGCTGGATAGCTCAGTGGTTTAGGTATCTGGCTGCGGAGTCACCGGTTGGGAGTTCGATTCTCCACGGTGCCTCCAGGGAGAAGACCCAGCCTGCGTGGCCTTGGGCAAGCTGCCTAGTGCCAGGCACCCTCGGAAGAAGGGAACGGGAAATCACTTCTGAGTAGCCTCCGTGTGGAAAAATCTGAAAAAGGGTCGACGTAAGTCAGAGTTGATGGCACATGATCGTTTCTATTAATAGGGGGATTTATCGCCCGATCGGTCCCAGACGGGAAGCGCTGGCTATGCCGGGGTCATGCATAAAAAGATCACTTTGGATTCCATTGCTTGGAATCGGTGGCATAGACGGCAACATTACCACCAGATACTGGGTACGAAAAGAAAAGGAAAAAAAGGAGGGGTTTGGTGGCGTGGACCCAGAGCTGCAGTGCAGGTCTAGTAGTGTCTACTCGGAAGTAAGACCGGCCGCAGGTGGGAGAACTTGCTGGTCTGTCAGGGCGCGCTGTGTTGCAGGCAGCCTTAAGTGTCTAGAGAGCAGTTGCAGATCAGCACAGCGCTGGGGCCAGAGCCTCGCTCTTGGGGTTTATTATCGCCGTAGTTTTCCGGCCGGGGTGAGTTTCGAACTTGAGAGCACAATCTCCCAAGAGATGTTCTTTTCTCCGCCGACCTTCCTTCTTCCTTCGGGGTCTTGACCCACCAGAGGCGCCTCCACACAGCAAAGGCGCGCGCGTCAAAAAGACGGTGGCGGGGCTCGACCGCGCCTTTCCCTTCCCGCCCTTGGCGCGAAGGTAGAGGCCCCGTCCGGTTCCG